CTATACGCATACTTTTTATTCTTAGCGAGTAATTGACGGGCATAGTTGTGGGACACTGTTGTCGAGACGATTCGATAGATTTTGGAAAACCGTCCGTGCAACGACGATCGCGTGATCGATGAGGTGGAAAAGGAGAAAGGGAGAAACCCCTTCTGATAATAATAGGTAGGAGCAACTCGAACTCCCTTTTTGACGTCGTTGGTTTCTTTGGCAATTAACGGTGGGAACCGTGTAACGAGAGCGTAGCTACGCGAATGAACGTACGAAAGAGGGTGAAAGACAAGAAGAGGGTTAGGCGTTCGTCGACGAAAGAGACCGAACGGATTAAAAGGGAGGACTCTGACCGATGCCTTGTCGCCGACTTCAAAGACCCCTCCTGACTTGCAAAGATGGGCAGAATTTTATTCGAATTGTAAATAACGAGTGGAATGAAACGTACAATTGGAAATTAAGGAAGGAGGAGTTGACTTGTTTAAATAATCGCAATTTCACTTTCTAAGAACGATTCGTAGCCGTTATATTCAATTGTTTATCTTTCTCGTACGTTATTCAAAATTTATCCATCTCCAACTCTTCCTGAAACATATCGTTTGAACCTCGCTGGATCCTCCGAGACGCGAACCAGTAGACACCCAGTCGGGAGAGGAAATCGTTGCGAATCGTTGCGCTACGCTACGCGAATGTTCAATTTCGAGCGAAATAGCAGCCGTCCGCGTTTGACTAATGAAAATTTAATCGACGAGCTCGTTGGTGGGTAGCGTTAATTTCGAAAATGAAATCACTCCGCGTACCGGTGTCGGTAATTATCGCAACAGAAATTGTTCCCGCGAACGCACGTTTAGTTCGTTTAACGATCGCGAATTATCGCGAATAATCGCGACAACGATCTCCGTCGAGCGAAGAAGAATCGAGGAACGATACAAACATCTTCTTGAGGAAAATGCTGAACGATCGCGACTTTCCCTAATCGCGCATTGCGGCGATTGTCGATATCTTGGGAGGAATTCCGCAAACGGGCGAACGTTGGTGTACCGAGCAAACGAGACGGGCGTCGCGTCGCGTCGGCCAAAAGTAATCGAGTCCTCGTGTACGAAACTCGAAAGAAACGTCTGCGACGCTTGCGCTTTGCGACTCTTACTATTAATTATTATTACTATTATTTATCGACATCCACAGGTCTACATCATTTGTACATACATTTGTTAAACAAGCAGATATCGAAAAATATTCGAATTCGCGTTTAAGCGAGCGTGATTTACATTACAATGCCGTAGATTTTTTTCGCGAAAAATCGATCGAGGTCTAACTGAAAATTCTCGGAATTTTACAAACTCGAAGGCTGGGATACTTTACGTTCGTATTTCGCGTTACGTAATCTAGAAAAGACTCGCACGATACGGAATTTTGTTATCGAACCGGGCTATATTTCAAACGTTATTGCAAGATATCACGAAAGTAAAGGGTTACCCGACTTGGCACCACCGCTAGAAAATTTATGCTCGCCCAGAGTATTCGACGGTGCTCGGTATTTTATTAGTTTCACCGTTCTAACGAATTTCGTTCAAGTCGAACGAATTTATACTCCCGTTTGGTTAAAGAAATCTTTCCTTTCTTTTACCAAGTAACGACAAGAAAAAACCACAAACACTTTACCAAGCGCGTATCGAGAGAGCTCGACGAGTCGGATGGCCTCGACTCGACGACGATCAACGAGAACCATTGTTCCTCCGTTGGTCCGTGGTCGCGTAGCACGCCGATATCCTAGATTCCGAGGCGATCGCGTACCGATTTATCCGTGAACGGCGGGAAATCGTCGAGACGATGGATCGAGGAATCGAAAGACTCGAGGCTCTTTCGCGCCTACTTCCGGGATTGTCGTCCAGTCGAGCAAACAGCAGAATCTTCCAAGTTGTTTGCTCTAGTCCACTTTGCTTTGGCTTTTCATTCTTTTGTCCGTTATCGAATATAACGAACAGACAGTATTGCTATTGATTAAAATTTGATTCCTTCTCGCAGGTTTATAGCGTTTTGCAACGCGTCCTACAAAACTCCGACGAGCGGTAAAAGCAAAAAGATTTTATGCGATCTGAACCAATCTCGGGAAAGTCGTGCACAACGTTGCCAGGTTTTTGTAAAGAGTCTTGAGAGCGGTCGAACGAAACGGGGAACGGTCGCAGCGAACGACAAAAGTCACGCGACGCTACAGTCTCGTTCGCAGGACGCAAAAACGAACCGACCCCGACGCCGACGCCGACGCCGACGACATCCAAAGGAACGTTCCTTGGCGTCTCCGTCGTCGCTAATTTTCTTTGCGCGTGCATGTCAGGCGATAAACGACGTTCCGTTCTCCGTTTACTCGTTCGGGCTGATGCTCGACATTCGACGCGTCGCGCTCGTTTTCGTGCCCGTCGAGTACAGATTGCGGCGGACGGCCGCGTCCCTCGCGCATTTCCGAAGACGCCGTCGGTTACGAGCACCGAACGTACCTTAAGCGCGATTGAAGCGGAACAGCCGGCTGGCAACTCGGCCGTAATCGAATTAAGTGCATTATCGAGGAGGAACGAGCCGGCGAAACACGAAACAGCCGTGAACGGGAAAGCCCGAAAACAGTTTAGACGCGTTAAAGCGTCTCCTTAAGTAACGCGTGCTTTCGCGATAATCGTTTCGCGCAACTCAACAGGACACCCAACATTCGTTTAGCGAAATCGCGACGTCACCGCCAGGATGACCGAGATTGCTCGAGCCATCTCGGTCGGACGCGCCTCCGTTTTCCATTTTCCCTCCACACTCGCCTAAATAGTCGCGCAACGTAAAACCTAAACCGCTTGTTTGCAATGCCTTGGAAGCTTCGTCGCGCGATCTTGCCCCAACTTGATCGAAAGTGGGTTAAATCGCGCACGGGTCGAACACCAAGGTGGAATTGGTTTTGCGAGTAGAGGAAAGCGTGCCACGCTGCATCACTAGCTCGACCTCTACACGCCAATATCTCGCAGAAGAATAAAATTTCCGTTTATTTCGCTAGCGAATGGAAACGGATAACATCCGGATAATGCGTTCACCGATTATTCAAACCAAGATAGATTACGTTCACCGGTCGTCCACTTTCGCTACAAAGTACATCTACAGCTGGGACAATTTTGTCGAAAATTTTAGGTCTCGTAGCGAGTGGTCGGTGATCAATATATTAATTGGCAATTACAGTCTCGCGTCGACGTCGACGATATATCCGTTTGGCGATTAATATGGCATTAACTCGAAATTCAATAATGGAGCTCCATCTCGCACTTTTTTGATCGGGTATTACGCGGAAACGGAATCAAGTCGCGGGCGAAGCCGATACGCGCAACGAGTTCCTCGTCGACGCCGATAATCCGAGCGTTCTGCCGTCAGAGCTGGGGGGACCATCTTTGCCCGGGAACAATCGATTTTCTCCGGATTTATACGTCGGAAATTGTACGCTGCGGATCGGGAAACAGAAACGATTTCTCGCTGCCGTGACGGATCTCGATACGCGAAGCGTGCCAAACGAAAATCTGCAAATATTTTCGTCAAACGATTTTTGTAATACGATTACGCGATGGCACGGAACGTACTTGGACCGAGGGAACCTGAAACTCGATGAACCGTCCCCGACGAATCGGGACCAAACCTTTTTCTCTCGAATCGGCAGCGTCGTGCAACGTTAACCAGGAACGCGTCGAAAACCATTGCAACCGAATTCGATAAATCTTATCGACGCGACGCGCCACGCACTCTCGATAAGCGGTTTCGATATCACCGGCGAATCTATTTGAATTTGTTTCGCGAGCTGGACCACTGTCAACGTCCAACCGACCATTGAAAAGCTTAACTTTGAACTGACACCGCTGGACTTTGTCGAACCTTTGTCTATATTTTGTCCTGGCTTTGATAACGAGTGACGTTCGGGTTCCCGTCAAATATTTATATTTTCGTCGTTGATTTCGGTGCGACGGGATTTCTAATATGCCCAATGAAAGATGACGAATTGTGCCGTATTCTCGATCTTTCGAATCTTCCGAGTTTGCCCTGCCGCGAAAACACGGCGTTGGCGAGAAATAATGGTAAAAAGGATGGTAAGGTATCATCTTTTATCCTGGCTTTTTTGGCAAAATAGATATAACACGCCATTTCCACTGGCATTTGCGTTTCGTGTGCGTTACAACGTAAAAATCGGAGGCTGGCCGAAGCCGCAACCGCTGCCACAAAGTTGAGCCGTAAACGAGCGTTCGCTGTTTTCGCTCGTTCTCCCTTCCTTTCGATCACCGTGGCTACCGAGTTTTGGGAAATATCCGCAATTCTCGATTTTCGTTGACGTAATTGCCACCGACACTTTGAATTCCCTCTATGCGGACTAATAATCGATACACGGGAATTCTACCGCGCGGCTAGCGCTCATCCAGAAAAGTCACGGTCTTGTTTTCGTGTCAATCGCGCTCGAGAAATGACGCTGTTGGCATTCGAGTGGTCGTAACTCGAACCGAACGGTGATAAATACGAGGTGAAATAATTATTAGGCGAGATCGCGAGGAACGCGACATCGACGCGCGTTCGCAACGCTTGCTCTTAATTATTTATCGACCTTTCCCGATACTTGTTCGTTCTCGCATCGTCGGCCATAAAATCGAAAGCTTTTACCACCAGACCGTTCCCATAGATCAAGGATGCGCAACGTACACGACCGTCGGATGATTTAACTTGGTCCGCGGCCTAATTTTAATATAACAGAAGATTCTGTTAACTTTAGCACGAGTGAAGCTGGGTCACGAGATTCCAGAGACGAGCGAAATTCTTATCGAAACGTTAACTTTGATATAAAAGTTCGAGTAACGAAAAAAAGGTATATAACTCGTTATTTTGAAATCGGTAATTCCATTGTAATTTTGATCTGGATTTACGCGATACACCTATCGCGAATTGTAAAAATCTTTCAGACGTATATCTTAAATTGTAACAAATTTCGTATTTTATTTCCGTTCCAGGAAGTGCAACGAGATTGAGGCATTCGAGACACCTAGACGCGAGATCGCAGTCCTCGACTGACGAGGAATTAACGGTGAGTGCTTTTAGAATCCCTCTTGATTCGATTTCTCACCCTTGAAACTGCCGCTTCCTTCCTTCGTTCCGTTTTCTATTCTCTTACCGTGGTATCTCGTCGACTGGATTCGTTTCCTTTTCCTTTTTGCCCCGCGTCTCGGGATCTTTCGAACGGTCTTGAAAACCGCATCTTTCCTCGCTCCAGCCGTGGATAATAGATTCGCTGCGTTGAATCCCGCGATCGCGAACCGCCTCAAATATTTACGCGATCCGGCTGCCGCTTCGCTGCGTCTACCGATTCTCTCGAACCTTTTTCCCGTGGCACGATCGCCGAATCGTCGGATCCTACGCGGAAAGCGTTAAGATTGCCGGAAACCTGGCAAGGATAAACCGCCGTTAACGTACTCAATTTTAACGTCGTCTCGAGACACCGTAGGAAAGCCAGAGGAAGATCTCTCGTGGTATTGAGTTTACAGATGAGAGTTCGCCCGCGACACATAGTCAACTTCCGTGGTAACTTTGAGAACAGGATCGAACGCGAAGGAATATCGGTATCAGGTTTTCGCTCCAAACTTACCTTATTCCGGTAATCGGAACCGCGCAATCACGAAAAACTGTGGGGGACCAACTGTTGACTCGAATAATTGATGGAACGAAGCGGTACATTTTTATTTCTCTCGACTCGATAAGAGCAGAAACGCAACTTGCCCAATCTTCGCTAATCTTTTTTCTTTGATATTCGCAGATGCAGCAAAACGAAAATCACAATCACAAGCCAGTGTTTTTGAATTGCTCAAAATACGCGCCGATCGTGAAAGAGGAGGAACCTGCAGGTACCGTGGTAATTCAAGTGCACGCCGAGGACAGGGATCATCCGGACGACGGAGGTACGTCGAAACACGAGATCTGAGAATTTAAGATTGATGCGTGTCGTTTTGTGTCGGGCACGTTTTTCTACTTTTTACACGTGTATCCCGACTACGTTTATATTCCGTCGTATGGTTCGTTCCCGCATAGAAAAATTGAAATCAAACTGCGGCTTCGTATCGCGTTGGTAAAACCAATCGGCTAATGCATCGGTTTAAGGAAAGGACAGAATTCGAATCGTCAACTTTGCAATAACAATTACTCGGCATCCAGCGTTTTCACTACCGCGCGGAATTTCTTCCCACGGAGAGTATACGTTTACTTTGTCGCGAGATAACTCTACGAGAAAGTCTGTTTCTAAAAAATTGTGACGTGTCGTTCGTTTGCTCTCGATGCGCTAAATTCAACGCGACTCGCGGCTGCCAAACGGGTCAACGCAGAAACTCGAACCGAATTCCGAGTAGAACAATTAATTTGGTCGAAAGAATGAGAAGCGTCCGCGGAATAACTCGATCGTTTGCTCGTATGCAGGTACGATCACGTACAGCTTCGTAACGGCCCCTGGCGAAAAACTGAAATTCGAGATCAACAACAGAACTGGATTGATCAGGACGACACAGGTGCTGGACAGGGACGAGCCTGCTCGAGAGAAGGAAGCCTACTTGACCGTTTTCGCAACGGACAACGGAAGACCGCAACTCGACGACGTGTGCACGTTCAAAGTTACTATCGAGGACGTGAACGACAATTCGCCAGTTTTCGACAAAGTGGTAAGTGATTTCGAGTAGGGATTCGTCCGAGTACTCCATGGGTCATCGCTCGATTCGTCCACGGTTCTTGTCACCGTGTACCTACCGACGAAAATCGATCCTTTCAGCGCCACCGACGGTCGCTTATCGTCGGCCGATTCCACTCTCGAGACCGTACGAGTTTTCCTTAAACTTTCGAAAACTTGATCGCGTCTGTCTTTCGGATTTCGGAGCTTACAGCGCTAGATAAACCGCATCGAGAACCTTATCGGACGAATGTATAACGCGTGTCACGTTCGGACTACCCGTGGACGTTTTAACGTTTTAACGTTTTTAAGCGTCGGTGAAATAAAATGTTCGTAAACCGAAATTCGCTAACCGAATCGAATCGAGTCATAACATCTAATACAGTTTCTTTCGATGCCACACGCTTTCGTGACCCCTTCACGACCCAAACGACCGATATTTTTCATTCGTCCGCCAACGAACGCGTCGTCCTTACCTTCTTACGACTGTGCTACTAACCACCTTTTGCTTCGTTTTTGTTTCTTTGTCTAAACCCAGGTCTTCCGTGGATACGTATGGAAGGTTGGTCTCGAATTTTGCGGTGTGAATGTAATTTCAGTGTTTTCTGTGGGAATGCGAATGCGAATGCGTATGCGTCGTTTTTTTTGTTCCGTATCCGATAGCTTGCGCGATACGGACGGTAGAATCGCGCTGTCGAACGCATAATGCCAATCGACTAATTCCTGTCGCTTGTTATTTAACATCTCTTTTTCATTTCGTACACCTGATGGAAGGCGCGAACGTAGAAAAGTAATCCCAGCGATCCTACCGATCGTATCGAAGATTGTCGTGCATATGATCGCGTAACGTTCTCGCGGTTAGATCTCGACGCATGCACCCACGCGTAGGTAATTAGAAGAAAAAGAGGGATGCGTTGCGCGCACGAATACGTTTCGAGCCGTTTGCACGAGAGACGTCCCATCGATCGTGTGCACCCGAAATCGCAGTCGGAGACGTTGTTCGAGCGAAACCGAATCTCATTTGTTTTCCGGTTGGCGATCGCGTCGACCCGTAGGCGTACACAGAGTCCGTGCCGCAAGACTTACCTCTGGGCCACGAGGTGATGAGAGTCTCCGCCACCGACATCGACGACGGCAACAATTCCGTCGTCTACTACAGCTTGTCGCCGAAGAGGCCGGAGGACGGAGTCTACTTTCGAATAGATCGCAACACCGGCGTGATATTTCTCGAGAGAACCATCGACGTGAGTATCCGTTTACGAATTTTGACATTTAACGAGTGTACGAGTCCGTTGGACGACTCCTCGATTCATCGATCGAATCGATCATCCGCAGAGGAATCCTGACTACAAGTTCAGCATGACGGCAACGGCCGAAGACCAGGGCGAGATTCCAAAATCAAGCGTGATCGATCTGGACATTCGGGTGGTGGAATCTCACAAAAAGGCTCCAGCCTTTTTACCGAGATCCGCGGAACCGATTCGACTGCCCGAGAATTTCAACGACTTCGAACAGAGCATAGTGCGATTGACGGCCATCTCGAACAGCGGGGACAACACCGGCCTCCTTTTCGAGCTCGTCACCGGTAAAACGGAGCAGACAAACAAAGGAAACACTTTCAGGTAAGCGAGAACGATTCTTTCCGTTTAGTACTAGTCCGCGGCCAACAGACATCCGATCTAGGCTACACCGAAACCGGAACTTGGACGTGTGCGGGAGTCGGGAGTTTTAGACTCGTTCTCCCCGTAGGTTGGAATCAACCAAGAACGTTGCAGACATCAAGCTCGCTCATGCTCTCGACTACGAGAGCAACACGATGTACACGTTGATCGTGCGAGTCCAGAATAAGTACCAGTTGGCTGCCGAAACCTTGATCGACATCGAGGTGCTGGACGTGAACGACAACATCCCAGTGTTTCGCGAAATGACGAAAGGTAGCGTGCTCGAGAACGAACCGCCGGGAGTGCCGGTGATGCAAGTGCGAGCGATCGACGCCGATGGGACTTCAGCGCACAATCAGGTACGATGTTTCCTCCTCTCGTCGTTTCCCCTCACGCGTTTCTTCTTCATCGTCGCTCATTCTTCTCGTTTCTCGCGGTCAAGGTTACCTACGAGCTGGTAGACAACTTTCGCGATCGGTTCGCCATCGACAAGTACACCGGCAAAATCACCACTTTGACCAAGTTCGACAGAGAAGAAGAGGACACGTACAACGTGAAGATCATCGCCGTAGACAATTCGCCGAGTGCTCTGTTCAAAACCGGCGAGCACAACAAGGGACAGCAAGTGTTTCGAATCGAGATAGCGGACAAGAACGACAACGCTCCTCATTTCACTCAAGCTGTCTACACGGCCAACTCGATCCTCGAGGACGCCAACATCAACGCTCCGGTCACCGAGGTGAAAGCTCTCGATTCGGACACGGCCAGTCCGGTCACCTACAGCATCATATACGGAAACACCGACGACAGCTTTTACATCGAGGGCACCACAGGCAAGATTCGCGTGAAGAAGCCTCTGGACTACGAGAAGATCACGGAATACAGCTTGACCGTCAAGGCCTTCGACGGCTTGTACAACGACACGGCTCAAGTCAAGATCTTCATCGAAAACGTCAACGACAATCCACCCGTCTTCGAGGATTTCAATAAAAATCCGACCATCGAGGAGGAGAAGTTGGTCGAAGGTGAGAGTGGAATCGGACGAGTCGTAATAACAATAGCGATAATAACGTTTTCGCGTGTAACACTAAAGGACCTAAAAATTCTTTGATTCTTTTTCAGGCTGCATCACCACAGTGGTCGCCTACGATCCCGATATAAAGGATAGGAACGCCGATCAGCACATCACGTACTCCATCGTGAAAGAAGATCAGCAACCTCTGATAGGAATCGATAAAACTGGTTGCATGACGTTGAAGAAACCCTTGGATCGAGACTCACCGTTGGGTTATTCGATGTGGACCGTAAGTGTATAGAAACAGAACGTTTACGGGGATTAGAGATTAATTTGTTCGAATATGCATCACCGGTGTGGGTGGAATTTAGCTCATAAAAATCATGGTGGCATGATGGTACGCGACCCGTGGCTTAACGCATTCAAGACCGGTGACACGGGGGTTGATATAGAATTGCGAACGTGTTAATGGTTACCAAGTAATCTTGTTACGATATACCGGTCTAGAATGCGAAGGTAGACAGGTGTACGAGAAATAAGTAAACGCGATCGATGCTCGTTTCAGGTGATAGTGATGGCGCGGGACGAGAATGGATCCCCGACCGCATTGCGGGAGACGGTCATGGTGAACATCACGTTGATCGATATAAACGATAACGCGCCGTTCCTTGATATGCAGAATCCGGTAGTGTGGGACGAAAACGAACCACCGGGAAAGATCACGGATCTGAAGGCCCGAGACTACGATTCAGACGTGAACGGTCCGCCGTTTCAATTCGAGATCGACCAAGTCACCGCGGACCAAGTGATCTTGGCCAAGTTTTCGATTCGCGACGCCGAATTGTACGCAAACGTCGAATTCGACAGAGAGAAACGAAAAAATTACAACATTCCTATAGCGATCACGGACAGCGGACAACCACCGATGACCGGCACATCGACGCTGACCGTGATCATCGGCGACAAAAACGACAATCCGATGTCAGAGGGCTCGAGTTCCATATTCGTCTACAACTATAAAGGCGACGCGCCCAACACGGAAATCGGACGAGTGTACGTCAACGACCCCGACGACTGGGACTTGAACGATAAACACTTTGCCTGGGCCTCGTCGCACGACGGCTTTCACTTGAATTCAGACAACGGCATGATCTCTTTACTCTCGGGTACTTCGAACGACACTTTCGTTCTCAAGTTCCTCGTCACCGAGCACAACGATATATACATTCCTCGGCACCAGGTGAACGCCTACGTAAACGTTACCGTGAAGGAGCTGCCCGAAGAAGCGGTAGCCAGGTCTGGTTCCGTACGACTTTTCGGAATAAGCGCCGAGAAATTTGTCGAGCCCGACGAGTTGGGTATCAGCAAGAAGGAGATATTTCAAGAGAGGATCGCGAACATGTTGAACGCGTCGGTGGAGAACGTTGACGTGTTCACGGTGCTTCACTCTCCTCATCACAACAACAAAAGCTTGCTAGACGTTCGATTCTCGGCCCATGGTAGTCCCTATTACGCTCCCGAGAAGTTGAACACGATTCTCGCGGAACACGTGAAAGAAATGGAGCAGGAGCTCAAAACGGACATTTTGCTAGTGAACATCGACGAGTGTCTGTTCGAGAAACAGCACTGCAACGACTCCTGCCGCAGTTACTTGAACGTCAGCACGGTTCCGTACCCAGTCTATACCAACACTAGCTCGTTCGTTGGCGTACGAGCGGTCGTTGATCCGCAGTGCACCTGCCACGTGGCCGAGCCAATCGTTTGTTTGAACGGAGGCACTCCACTAGCGGAGCGTTGCGAATGCCCGCCCGATTTCGAAGGACCGAGGTGCGAACTGCTGGGCATCGGCTTCCAGGGTGACGGATGGGCCATCATGCCCCCGCCTGGTCAAGCTTGCGGCGACTCTCATTTGAGTAAGTCTGCTGTCATTCTCTTCGCTTTGTACTTTTATCTCGACTTTTTCAAACTACCAACTTGATACTATATTATAACGGATGCAACGAACAACAGGTCTGGAAATAATTCCCCAAATCGACGACGGCCTGGTGTTTTACTTCGGTCCGATGATCTACAGTCCCAAACTTGGAGTTCAAGACTTTATGTCTTTGGAACTTCAAAAAGGATACGCGGTTGTTTACATGGATTATGGAACGGGCACTACGCGACTCGATCAGAAGCAAATCAAACTCACCGACGGCAAAAGTCACAGGATCGACGTTTACTGGACGAAGAACGTAAGCGCTTTTTCCCGATTCGTCGCTTGCGAGACGGTTTTGAAATGTTGTTTCTTCGGTTAATCGAATTTTTGCTCGTTACAGTCGATCGAGATGAAAGTGGATAACTGCGGCATATCGGCTTGCATGAGTCTAACCGCGCCCCAAGGCTCGAACGAATTCTTGAACGTCAACAGTCCGATTCAGGTCGGAGGGAGCATGATCAATTTTGCCCAGCTTGCCTCGCAGCTGAAATGGGACTTTACACCTACCAATAAAGGATTCGTCGGTTGCATACGCAACATAACCTTCAATGGAAATGTAACGTCGCTATTTTCCAGTCGCTTGGACCGTCTGTTTAACGCGACGAAGAAATGATTCATTTCTAACCAAGCGTATCGATTTTTCGTGTGTTTCAGACGTATAATTTGGGAATGCCCTCGTTATCGAGAAACGCGGATCCAGGTTGCGATCACCGAATGGCAAAGGCCGTTTCCTTCGGAATCGATACGAACTTTCTAGTCGCGATACTGGTGTGCGTGGCCATCTTGTTGATACTGTTGCTGGCGGTGGTGGTGCACAGGCGAAAAACGGACGACCTTTACAAGGACATGGACGATATCAGAGAAAATATTATCAATTACGAGGACGAAGGAGGCGGCGAGGTTGACACGGGTTACGACTTGAACGTTCTAAGAACTATTTACGACGCTCCGCCCATCGACTCGAAAATAGCGCCGGTTGGTTTGCAGGGAAGAGGTGAGTAAACGAGTTAGTTGCTCGTTTCAAGGGTCTCGATGATCGAGGAAATTCTTGGAAAAGTTGCTTAATTTATACGGTGTTATATTCGGTTTCCTTTTCAAGCACCGGACGAAGTTCCAGACATTTGCGGTTTCTTGGACGGCAAGAAGGAAAGCTGCGACAAGGATCCCGACACGAATCCCTTCGACGACGTCAGGCACTACGCGTACGAGGGCGAAGGCAACTCCGAGGGTTCCTTATCGTCCTTAGCCTCGTGTACGTATATTATATCGACGATCATCGTAAGCTGCAGTTGGAAAAATTGTTCGCGGCGTCGAACAAAATTGAACGTACCGTTCATTTCGAATGTTTGCTTCCAGGTACCGACGACGGAGATCTCAAGTTTAACTACCTTTCGAATTTCGGGCCAAGGTTCCGAAAGTTAGCGGACATGTACGGAGAAGAGCCCAGCGACGAAGAGAGCGACGGTGTCGGCGAACGGGAGAGCGAGAGCTGGTGTTGAGTCTCGAGAGCGGTCAAATTTTCACGAAAAATTATTCGCGAGTTTCTCTCATTTTGTACTTAACCGACGCGAGGACTTTCTTTGCGTTCTCTCGTCACCGTAACTCGATCAGCTGAACGCAATCGGAGACAACGGGGGGACGTTGCGCCTTCGATGCTCTTTCCCCTCCACCAGTTTTACATCGCACGGATGCCAAAGCGGCAAAAACAAACTGGACAAGTATTTTGCCGACAACGACGATTCATTCCCACGCGGTCGACGCGAACGAATATTGCGTGTTTCGTTCGAACAGACCGCGGTAACGGAATCGTCGCGTATTATTTTACTCGCGGAGACTGACGATTCTCGTTCCAACGAGCGAGAAATCAAATTTACGCTACTCTTGGAGGCGGTTCCTTCGTCTCGCGCGACGTCGCGACTAGGAATCGATAGAAGCCGATTAGAGGATTAGGGTAAACGACGAAACGAGCGATAATATATTTTCTTCATTCGCGGCTCGTATCAAAGCAGAAAAGGAATACGCTATCTTATATTTTATTATTTCATCATCGAAATCGCCGGACAACGATGAAAGGTTATGCGCGACGTGTACTAAAATCGATGGCCCCGATTTCGATGAAATAACATTTTTTTTTTTTGGCGAGCACTGTACGAGCCCGCAACCTGGACCTTCGATTTGAGCGCATCCTGTATATCGTTCGCTCAGTGACGCCTCGCCCGAGGAAGACTGCGATGATTTATTATGCCAGCGAAACGATAGATTCTCGGGCGTCAAGTACCGAGTAGTAACAAGAGAGGACGCTACACTTTTATTTCGACCGTTACTATATTTCGCGTGCATTCCAACGAGGAGCGGAACCACGCGATGCCATGCACCAGTGTTGGGGAAAATTGAATCAAAGAAACGATAGACGATTGAGATTGAAATGGATAATCGTTAATTGTTCGCAATGATCGACGATTAATTTAATCATAATCTTTGCGAGCGGTTAACTCGAATAGTCGACTGACGTTAATCGCGATTAATTCCGACGATTGAATTTTTAATCGCATCGCGCAATCGATGATTTAGTTGAGAAGGACTAATCGAGTAACGCCCGACTCTGTTATTCTCTCATCGATTGCTCGCGATTTTATTATCGGACGTAATCGCGACATACGGCTAGATCTCCGACAGCGAAGGAATAGACGGACGCGTATCCTTCCGAGAACGATACAGCAGCAATCAATTTGTAAGTTTGGCAATCATTCGAGTTATGAAGTTTTTCGACTATTTTTTTATACGTTACATTATATAAATATAAGTAAATAAATATATACGTATGTATATGTACACAAGCGAGCGCGAGACGCGCCGTACAGGAAATCTAAATACGAATGGATATAGATATCGAAACAAGAGACGTATCGAGGAAATACTAGCGGTGTAAACGCGACGTTTAATCGCGATGCACAACAAGGCAAGCGATTCGAGTGACGGACGTTCGGAACAAAGGCAGCGGGAAAGAAGGAGCGGTTTCGCTCCGTTATTTAACTTATAGAATATTTTATTAACTGGATGTGCGTGAGTGAGAAATCGTGTACGGAGTGTGCTACTATCACGTATAGCAAATACAGATATAGTTATAAATAGAAATACAAATACAAATACAAATATATACGTACATACAGGTATGCGTAGGTCGAGACGATTCGCGGTCGTATTACTGCAAGACGCAGACGCAACGATCAATGACGCGCACGCGCGTCTCTCTGTGGCGTGCACGTGTTCCTCGAGGTTTGCGATTAGCGGCGAGTTACGACTATTGTAATAAGAAACAACGAGAAAAAGAGCGACACACACACACACACACACTGTATTCAAGAGGGTGTCAGACATTGCGGCCGATCAGAGACGACTCGAAAACCGATGAAAGGAGATCGAGTGCCATACCATACAACCGGCGTTGATTTATCGTTTTTAGCCTGTAATCGATACCTACCGAATAGTTTTACCGGGAAAAGATTGCGCACGAATACACGCGATACGTTGTTACATTATTTGGACTCGAGCAATTCCGAGACGACGATCGATTATCTGAAACGGATGTTACCTCGCCTCGGAAGTGCTCGGCCGTCCGTTCTCTTCCATTCGGCATGCGTATCGCGTAATTTCGTTCGTAGGTCGTATCGCTCCATCTCGAAGAACAATTTCTACGCCTATATATATATATGTATATGTATGTATACATATGTGTATGTATATTCGTGTACCTATGTACGCGTGCACGCACGTACGTACACGCATATATATGTGATAATAATTTGTAAGCTTTTTGTACGATAAATCAGTGACGATATATATGTATAAATACGTAAACGCATCGTCCGCGCGTTAGGCGCGTCGAGAGAAACGGGGAGAGAATAAAAAAAACTAACGTGTAATTTATACGATAAAGAATGCAGCTTAGACGAAAGCGTGTGATCTCAGAGGATATGTAAACGGGTGGGTGAATCGTGCGTATCGATACACAAAACGAATGGCTGCCAGCTTCTTTAGACGCTTGCCACGGAGAACAACGACGAACCGCGAGTACCTACGGTCGCGCGGAGAACATCACCGGCGGTAGAGATCGGCAAAATTTATACAATTTACATTTGCGTTTCATTCCACGATACGAATTGAAATTTCTGTTCAACGGATAAATGGTTACTCGTCTTCTATTCGTTATTTTGCCCATCCTCGACCGACGGAAACATTGTCGATGTCGATGCCGCACCCGTCATATCAATGCGCTTTTCAGCGGTTTTGCAGTACAAAAAGAACGTTTCCGTCGATGAACGTCGCGAGACAAACTCGCCGCGCACCGTGGAAAGCCAACCGATCGCGACGAAATCGAAACGACGGATAGTTTTCGTTCGAGCTTCCTCGATTCTTACCATTTCCGTCGAAACACGAACAAACTCCGATTCGCCGTAGCATCAGATTTTCTTTTCTTCCTTCTCGTCTATATTTTTCCCCCCTTTCTTTCTTTTAGTTCCGTTTTTTCGATTTCAACGTGACGAGTTGGCGCGTACGAAAAAATCACGGCGCTAAAGAGCCGTTCGCGATAATTTTACTCGAACACTGCCCTTCTATACTAGAGAAAAAAAAAAAAAACAGACGAAATATCATTTTCGCCCGCGATTCTTTTTCAACGCTTTTCCATTCGATCCGATCGAATCGACTATTCTTCCGTTCAAAGGAAGAACGATGAAATGATTACGCATCGTAGGCAGGATGACGAAAAGAGGGGTGTGAGAGGGAGAACGGTGCAGGAGGAAGTTGAACGAAGATACGTGCGTACACAGGCTTCTTGTACATTATCCAGGGTACGCGTAAACGAATAGCTTCGCGACCTACTCAACATGTGATAGTCGATGGCAAGGCATACTATATGTGCACACCTTTGTCCTTTACCCGCGATCCATCTATCGTCGTCAAAAGATACGTGTAATTTCCTTTTTTTTTGTAGCAATAAAGTGGAATTCGAATACAAACGTGGAGAGGCTCCCCTGATATATCGAACACCTCGGACGGTAACGGACCGGAAATTGCCCGAGAGAGACGAGTAACGTTTAATTAACCGTATTCTGGTCGGGCTTCGCGTCCCGACGATCTATCCGTCCCCGAGCGAGAAAGAAACCCTTTTCGATTCCGATTGAGAAATATTCGACGAAGCCAGAAACGACAATCGCAATAATCATTTTCGAGAATCGTTCTATTCCCTAAATTGCGTGCAACTATCATTCCGATGCGCGATTAAAAACGATTCAACGTAAAATTATGAAATTTTACGGATACCTATACCTATCTTTGAAAAGGATTTCAAAGTTTTAGCAACTTTTGGATTTTTCGTAATTATCGATCGATTCACGCCCAAAAGCTAATTACGTAACTCAAGTGCAATAATTTCGCGGAATGCAACTAAAATCGTTGACAACGAAAAAGCCTAAATTCGTAACGATACGTTCGTCGAGCAGACGATCGAGCCGCCCTTCTCAAGGGAACGTTCCACGCCGGCGCTTTCGTTGTCTTCGCGGATGAAGAACTATGAGAAGGGGACGATGGTACTATAAAAGGGTCCCTGGTGTCGTTACTTGCTCGCAAACGCGTCCATTCCGGAGAACGCGGACGATCCTAATTCCTCGATATCATCGTACCTTTCTGGAAGGCGTACGTCGACATGTAAGTACTCTTCGACGTTATAACTAACTAACGGAAATGTAACGGTTGTTTTGAAATTCATACGACATGGGCCCGAAAACTATTTCTCAGAACTACATCGAAGGTCGGTTCGCTACTGTTCGTAGGTATCGAAAACTTGGCCACTGTTCTCTCGCGATAATCCTCCTGTTATGCTTCATCTTCGACTCTGGGACGGAAGCTCAGCTAAATTTTTCCACCGGCTGGGGAAAGCGAAGTCAGAGGGTAGGAATCGTCGACTCGGGTAGCGTCGCGTGCTCACCGCGGGGTAGACCTACTCTGGAACAATTGCTGAACGTTTACAATTTTATACAGGTAAGCGTGCAATCGCTCTCGGACGTAAAATTGAAAATCATCGAACGCGGTTTTATGTTGCTCGCAGACGGAAGCTCAAAAGATGTTAGACTGTCGGAAGCTGAACGAGTGAACTCGAACCGGTCGACCGGGTTTAACGGAAGCAACGAAGACACTGGACCATCCGAGATACTTGATTCGAAGAATTTTCTAACGTCTGTTACGCGACCTGTTCAAAAACACCGGACGAAAGCAACAGAATTTTCTTTTATCGACTCGAACCACGTCCGGATGTAGCGAGCAAAGGTTGCTTAGGAAGATTTTCGAGCGCTCGTAGCTTGTAAAATTACCGATACGAACGATAATACAAACAATGAGTAGTAAAAGAAAGAATCGATTTTCTTCCGTCTCCTTTCTCTGTATTCGCTGTTTTAAGCGGAACGCGATGATCGTCGATCCTATCGGTATCGCGACCGTAACTTTTGATTAATCGCTCGTACGAAAAAGCTTTTCGGTCGAGCATTGTTTCCTCCGAACGTATATATTTCGTCGAGCTCTGTCGTTGATTGACTAGTTAGAGAACTTCCTTCCAACGATCCGTCTCGAATTTTTGTCAAGAAAAGTACTCGTCGAACGAGGTTTAACCATTTTTATTTTGAACGCGATCGACTTCAGGCGAGGAACGCCTCGAGAATGTGGAAATCTGTTTGGTTGCTGATTGTCTTGGCGGTTCTCGTGGACTCCGGTTACGAGGTTCGACGAGGAAAAAGGCAAACGATCGGCCAGGGTAAGAAATCGATCAACGATCGGTACGCGAAGCATCCGCGAATGATAATATTTTAGTCGCGCAACAGATTTCGAAGGCACTGGCGAACTTTTCTCCTGTACCGTTTTGGCAATCTTCGGAACCCGATGGATTTGTTTGCAACAAGTCAGGGTATTACGCGGACCCGCACAATTGCAACTACTTTCACCAGTGCGTAGTTTTCTTATCCGACCACCCACTTCGATTCACGTATCGTTGCAACGACAATCGCGTTTACTCGATCGAGAAAAGAAACTGCGTGATGCCCGATGAAAGCGACCGAGTCAAATGTGGTGGAAGAACCAACGGATCGAAGAAACGATCCCCGCCAACGTACCAAGGTATGACTGTACCGTGAAATTTATTTGTTCGTTCATAAAGACTAATGAAAATGTTTAGGTGCACAGGACTTGGACCAAACGATATCTCCAAACGTCAACGAACGTCTCCAAAAAGATTACGAGAATCTTTCCAATGGTATACGTGATCTCGAAAGAATCGACAAACTTCCGCTGTTCGAGGAACCTACCGACGAATCGACGACGACCACACCACAAACTGAGAACGAAGCTGCAATTTCGACAACAATGATATTTTTGAAAAACGAACAATTTAGCGAAGAAACGAAGCACCTTGAACCAACGACCGAACAAGCTACCGACGGAAAGGCAGGAATAACCGCGTCATCGTTATATTGGGAAACCGATACCACGTCTGTCGAGCAAATCGAACAACGCGTAACGACCGTCTCCGAATCTCTCCCGTCCATTCAACAGGAACACTCTGACGAATCCGAAGAATCACGGTGCATCGACGAGGGTTTCTTTAGCGTCCTCGACGACTGTTCAAAGTTTTACAGATGCGTTCCGGTCGGACATACGTTTCTCAAGTACATCTTCTCCTGTTCTAACGGTACTATCTGGGACGATCATTTAAAAACTTGTAATTTTCGAGCTGCGATCAGAGAAATAACATGTCAGGATAAACGTACTTCGTCGACTACTTCGGAACGTTCGTCAGGCAGCTCGGAAGTTGCTTGTCTTGCTGGTAACTTAACTGCAGATCAAACGGTCATCGTTTGTCCGACTAGCTTTCGTCGGCTTCCAAAGTACTGTAACGTCTTTTATCAGTGTACCACCAACGAAAACCTGTATATGAATTTTGTTCCGCTGTTATGCCCGGAGAATACGTTTTTCAACGAGGATCGTTTGGAATGCACGAGCAACGAGGTAGGCGAACGAAACGATTGCGTGAATTTCGAACGGTTGGGTACATTGCATGCCAATGAAATGGTAAGGAGAAATTTCCTTCTCATTGAATCACCTTTCAATTGTTCTTTGAGCAATTTAATTAACTTTCCTAATTAAGTGACTGCTATTGTACGCGTCTCTGTCTGCTGATTTTTCTTACAGTTCGAGGCTCCGAGTACCAAATTGTGCCCAGCAGAGGGTCAGTTCCCTTACGGTGGAAATTGCTCCGTTTATTTTTTCAAATGTGAATATAACTCGAGTGGAGCACTTGAAGGATACTTACAGGAATGTCCACATGGTCAGGTGTATTCTTCATCTCTGGAGATATGCGATACCTCGTTGTATGAACTCTGTACTCGTAACAACCTATAATATGAATTCGAGAAAAGCTTATGAATAACCGTTAGACATATAACACGTCGACACTTTGTAGTTTTAACGTTAACGCTTTAAATATACCAGAAACAAAGAGAAGTTATCTATAAAAGATTGGTTGCATCCAGAAGGGACATCGCTCACTGAGCTGCTCTGTGAGCGGTACTAGTGGCGCCATCGGTGGGAAAACGCCCAAGTTTGTAGTAAAGTTAGTTTCAATTACTGACACTAGATGGCGTTATAGGTATTCGTAAAAATTTTTTTTTTTATATTCAATAACAAAGTAGCGAACAAGCATTGTAATATTAAAATACAAATGAGAATCATTTTTTAACCATCAATTCTATATTTTTTTATTGAAACAAACAAATGGTTCCATCTAGCGTTGACAGTTAGGAACTAATCGAGGACAAACTTGGGGGTTTTCCTGATAGAGGCGCTGAATAAACTCCGAAAATTAGTTCGATCTATTGAACGCTAGATGGCGACGACAATGATAGCTGGGATCGCCATCTTAGAGGAGTGATTGGAACTATTTTCACTACAAACTTGGGCGTTTTCCCACCGATGGCGCCATTTGGTATTAAAAATCAGAAATCGAGACTAGAATATCGACTGCTATCGATATTTGCGATCATGTATTACAGTTACAGAATTTCTGATACGCTTACATTTATCGTTCCGATGTAGTAACGTAATCGTTTATTAAATACTTTACCTATCCTTTAATAAAAATGCAATCACTTTATTGAAGTAATTTTCGAGTTAAGTCAGAGTATCGTTTTTGGAGTAATTTATAATTCTAACCAACTGGAACTAACCTATAAAGCCGTATCTCGAGGTCATTATTCAAGATTTCATGAGAAGCTGAAGGACACTTGAAATCCAAACTGCATTACTCGTAATTTATTGGTGGTAACACTACCGAAACGCTTCAAATCAAAGAGGAAACTAATGATGTATACGGTGCAATTGCCTGGCTTGTTATTAAAGAGATTTAATACAAATTATGTTCAAAACAATACTAGGTTAGCTTCTTTTGGGCAGTATGGAAATTATGGAAAATTTCGCGAATGTCGCAAAAGAATAAACCATTGGTTGAAGGAACAAGGAGGGCAAGTAGCCGAAGCTTGTACTAAACAGTTTGAATTTATTATCGCACAGCGTATAAGACGAAGTTTACAAATATTTCACTTGTACACACGAATATGGGATGAAGTAGCGCTCAAGGAATTTATGAAATCTTGGAGGAATCGCGCGTTAAAAAATAGTAGGCATTTTCTAATGAGCAGTATCGGTATTACAATGTTTAACTGGGATCGCGAAAGAATAACCGAGGATGAATTAAATGGGTAAGCCATTAACTCTTTCATGTTATTTCTTTCCTGTATCGGTTTTAATTGTTTATTTATCATCTGCTATTACTTAATAAAATATTTTTATTAGTTACAAGAAAGAGATCGAAGGGATTCACAGGTTGAGAGATTCGACGGTTATTTGCGCAAAGTGCCACCTAAGAATCGTTATAGATACCAAACAACCCGATGTAAAGTATTGTACTTGTCGTGGCAACAAATACAATGCAACTTCCAATCGAGATTGTAAATAACGATATGTTGTCCAACGTGTTGTAAATGTCTATTAAAACAATTTCAACTTTATCGTTTACTGTTTCAGCTGATGGATGGACACCATATATAGAGCGACAAGATATGCTAATATGGAGACGAGAAGAACCAAATTGTGGAGGATTATTTGCATATAAAGTGTACGGTTCGTTTGCAGACGTTTCCGCGGAAGACTTTCTACAAACGCAAATAGATGTTGATTATAGGAAAGAATGGGATCCTACCGCTCGTGAATTACAAATCATAGATACCGATCCGGCGTCCCAAACGTCCACTGATAACCGTTCCGATGTTATATACTGGGAAACAATATGGCCTGTAGGCAATAATTGCCGGTTATTAATAATATTGTTATGCAACCAATTCTCAAAACTGTAATATTTTGCATTACATTTGTAGAGCCTATTTGCAAATAGAGACTATGTATATCAACGTAGATGGGTGGTGGACAAAGAGAGACGATTAATAATTATCATTAGCAAAGGAACAGATCATCCCGATGCACCTTGTAAACCAGGACTATACAGGTAGTGCAGATATTTGCCAACGCCTTCTGTAACTTCGAAAAACGTAGATGACATGTAGGAAAATATGATATCGTTACCGGTCGATCGATCTTTTCTAGTTTCGTATTTCATTATGGAATCGGCTAGTTCAATAAATATTTGGACTGCCAGAATTAAATATGAAAGTAGGGAGAGTTTAAGATTCTCCTTTATCAGTAAATAATCTGAAGTGTGTACATAACAGAGTCACAACATACTGGTCGTACATGGTGATAAGGCCTTATACAGAATTCCACCAGCCAGGCATTGAGTTTGGATTGACCTACTTTGACGACCCCGGTGTAAATATTCCATCCGCGGTTGCCTCATGGGTCGCCATGAAAGGTATGTGTTATTCGCGTGCAAAAACATGATAGGAAAATAATTATTTTTCTGTCGACTAGAATATTCACTTCCTGTTTCCATATTTGCAAATCCTAGGGTTACCAGACTTTTTAATACGTATGAGAGAAGCATCAAGGAATTATCAACAATATAAATCTGTGAAAGAGGATTTAGATGCATCCAATACAAATTACGCTCCTTTGAAAGACGAAAATATTTCCAAAGATAACATTTTAAATAGTAATATGCAAAATTCAGGAAGCGAATTATTTAATGATAAAAACATCGAGGAATGTGATGAACAACCCGAAGAATTAAATTTCGAGGAAGATGAAGAAGAAAATAAAGATAGTACAAATTCAACCAAAGAAAGCAGGGGGTTATTAGATTATTTTTTTCTTACAAAATTATTCGCGTGACCAGTGTAGTTTGCATTGGTAGAAATAAAAAAAGATGATATTCGTCGATAAAATGATATTAACACACAACCCGGTGTGGACAGAACAATGATTCGTCAACTAGAACTGCGATATAAAAGTATCGAACACGTTTATGTACATAGATACATTTGATCACTTTACGTCAGTGATGGGCAAAACCCTAGGCTTCGAATAAATTTGAAGTTTGCTGATATGTTTGTCTCGTTTCCTCTTTTGAAAATTTTCCAAAGAAGGAAACGAGACAAACATATCGGCAAACTTCAGATTTATTCGAACCCTAGGATTTTACCCATCTCTGCTTTACGTCTATACGAATACGCATGAAGTGAACATATATCTGTACCAAAATCGAACGAAGAATATTAAGAAATAACCGATGGCATTTTGTTTTTCAACGCGAGATACAATTTAAAATAACAAATATGAGACTGATTATCTTTATAATCATTTACCTGTATTACTTCAACTTATCAAATCAGTTGCCACAAGTTATCAAAAATTATACTATTAATTTCGAATTACAGGAAATTTTTAAGTAATTTGGATTCACACAGTGGGGCATTTTGCTACACGTTAAAAACTAGAATTGTACAAATCAACATATTTTATCGCATCCGTGTACATCCAGTTGTAGTATAAATATAAATAGATGTATAAAACATGAAAAACTGCTTTACTATACGTATACAATTACAAATGTATTATTCACATTTATACTTACAAGAAGTATCCTTTTTAATTAGCATATAAATTATACATAAATGCTCTGTGTAACACAAGTTTATATTCCTACATTATAAAATGTTTATAGCAAAGCATAATATTGCACGATAATTTTGTAATCTGAGATTTAATAGTAGACAGTTTCCATTCACCATTTTAAAGTTACAGATTTTTGTAAGGTGATACTAAGGGAAGAATGCCATATATGGTGTACCTGAAATCATGCATTTACTTCAAATTTATTCTCATCTATGTGTTCCTAATCTAAAAGATCTGTCTGTGTTGTTATTTCTACCTTAATAAAAAATGTTGACATAATCTGTAGAACAACTTGTTATGCTCTGTTTTGTTAGTTAATATTCTGTTCTGTCCTCTATTATAGTAACACAATTCACAAGCATATCTCCTTCTTCGTCGATATCAAAGCAAACTTCTTCTGGTAATTGTTTTGGTTCTGATTGAAAACCAGAACAATCTTCGTCATAACACCTTTGATACATCGTTTTACTTTTTAAGTTCACAAACAAAGAAACATTGTTACTTTTGTGGCATCTACCAATATTTTCGCAGTATCTATAGAAAAACATTACTCTTTTAGATACATATTTTATTAAATGTATTTAACAAGCAACTTTAACAAATGAGTATACCTGTATCCAGATGTTTCGTAGACTAATATTTTGGCAGAAGTAAAATGTTTACATAGACGTATTTTTCCAGGAAGAATTAAATTACGAATATATTTGTCTAATACGGAATATCGCGAATTACAGTTAGAATGACTGTTTTTGTTAAAATTATACTGCTGTATCTGTCCTTTGAAATGCTTTGCTTCTACATTATTCTCAGAATATTCCAATAATATTAAATCCTTCTTGCTAGTAAAATAAGATATCAATGAATCTAAAAATATGTTTAACTCTCTGTCATTGTATAAGATGGAGGGAATATATTTGGAATCCTTGGAGATTACCAAATTAGATTGTTTTCCCCATTTGGTAGATTTATATATTCTAAAGTGTCTGTTTTTTGTATAAACACTGGTATCGATAAACAATTTTTTATCATTTTTAGTTTGAACAATTAATTGTTCCAGTTTTGCCCTATCAAATGAGCCTAAAATATTATGCTCTTTCTTTTTTGACAAAATGTAATCCAAGATATCATTGCATATAGATTTTACAAATCTACCAACATGATAGTTATCCTTAAATGCAACATTTTTAATATTAAATATAATATGTCTGCTAAATTTTTCATTTGTACTCGAATCCAAGTTGAGCACGTTATTTATATTTGAAGGTAAAGCCCAATGCATAAGAAAATATGCATTAAAAATATCGATCAATGTTTTCGTCATAGAAGTACCATCGCTTTCTGGATTCATTTCAATCGTGTACTCTAAATCCAGATATAATCGGCAAGGACAATTTTCTGGGATTATCTAATTCAAAATTTGTTAAACATTATTGAGCTTTTTACCGTTAGACACAACAAATCCAGAGTACAAGATTAACTGAAATCAATCGAGATTAAAAAAGGCTTACCTCGTAAGAGCATCTTTTTTCAGCTGGTCGATGTACGTAATGCCACCAATATATTTCAGGATGAGCAACCACGAATTTACGGTAACCATTGTCATTTTGGTAAACAAAAGTAGAAAGCATATCAACATCGTTGCTTTCTTTGAAAGCTGTAGCTAGAGCATCAGCTTGTTTCTCGTATTCCTTCCAAAAGTTTGGTGGTCCTAAAATGTTTGATGGCATTTTTCGAGAAACTTTTATCCAAGGTGATATACTAACAAAGTTTTTTCTTTTGATTCCCTGTTCTCCATAAAACTGCTTTGAACTAATTGGATTCAACGCGTTCATCGTGACTTCAATTTTCGCGTGTAACGGCCAATAACGGCTAATTTGTTTCGTGCAATTTCGCGGTAAAATAAGCACACGAACTTTATAATTCTATTAACGAAATGGAACCCTATGAAAAATTTCGGACTCATTTGTTCTGCTGTACACATTAGTACATTCTATGTCAATTCTCAACTTGTTGTATTTTCAAAAGGAACCAATTATTCAGTTTTTATGTTGTCTGGAAAGACTAATTTGCTTATTATTTTTTTTTATCTTTACTTATTTTTTATGTAGCATTGTCATCTAATTTTATACATACCCATATCAGCGCCCCCCCGTTGAAATAGTTCCCCTTTTTGCTTTTAGATGGAACTACATGTCCAAATGCGATTGAATGTGATTGTCGTTTCCAGTAGCATTTTCCATTTCATGTTTTGGATTGTTTAATAAAATTTCTTTAATACTTTGATAAAATTTGAATATTTGTTATTCATCACATTCTATAGCAACATGGACGAAGATGTGCGTACTCTCTGGTGTGGAAATTTGAGCGAGAAAGTAACGGAAGAGATACTATACGAATTATTCTTACAGGTTTGTACATTTATGTAGATGCGTAAACAAAGATTGAAGGATATTTTATGACTGTACACAATAATATCTCTAATTTGCAAAATAGTAATTTTTAAACATTCGTGTATACTTTTAAAGTATGTTATGCATACTTCTGAACATTTAATTTGAGGTTATATGCTGATAACTTTGACTTCATCGATTTAAATTTTTATACAATGTTATAGGGTGGTCCCGTGCAAAAAGTCACCATTCCTAAAGATCGTGATGGCAAACAAAGAACATATGGATTTGTAACATATAAACATATTGATTCTGTATCGTATGCTTTGAATCTATTCAATGGTACAATGCTATTCAATCGTCCTCTTAGTATGAGCACAAGGAACAACATAGAAGTACCGCAAATAACAAATTCTCAGAGTCACTCTCTTAATTTGGATCATTTGCTTCAGTTAGGTCAACAGATGTTGGTTGCACATAATGCGCATATAATAGATATGTTTGGAGTTAATATGTTACCAAGGTCAGATTCGCATTCTAAACATATAGACAATGTTAACTCTTACAAAGATGATAGAAGAACTAGGCGCCCACATCCTTATAACAGGGAACAGAATAAAGTAGATAACCATCATAAAGATCACAGACCTAGACACATTCACAATAATCATCACAGGAATAACTTTTCCAGGAGAGATTATAAAAGCAATAAACGCAATTATCGTTAATATTATTTAATATGTTAAATAAATTATATAATACTAATTTCTATTATTATAAGATTTTAATTTGGTACATTTTTAATAACATACAATGCTTGTTCAAATCAATGCACACTTATAAACTTTAGACACTTTATTTCAGCTTACAAACTTTTACAACTTTAAACAATGAAATCTAAACATAGTAATCAAATTTTCATTTTGGATATTAGATGCAATGATGTTGGTACAATTCTCTTATGTTTGTATACATATGATATTAAAGTAAAATTATTTAAGTTAAATTTAAATTTTCGTAATAATTACGCGGCCTGTAACATTCCATATTATTTTCGTGAACTTTTGTATGCTGTTTAAACATGCGCGCTGCTTTTTCAGCAAGCATTAAAATTGCAGCGTTTATATTACCACTTGGCAAAGATGGTAATATGGACGCATCAACCACATATAAATTTGTCACACCGTAAACTCTGTAAGAAATAATTTACATAATACTTATAAAAGTAATTTTAGCTTGTGTTTAAAATTATTGAATCACCTAAATGTTTGATCAACAACATCACCCATGCGACATGTACCAGCAGGATGATAGGAAGTTAATGTTAAATGTTGTATGTAACATTCCCAATATTTTGTACTATCAAATATTTCATTTTCACACCCTGGAAAATGTTTCTGATAAATAGATGCACCAACAGTTTTCATTGCATCTGTTTCAGCGAGTTTCTTTACGAATTGGAGCCCTGTAAAATTTAATACTTGTGCAATTTAATAATAATTAATGCAAAATAAAGTTTAGTTAGTTGCAGTACCATCTATAAGAACTGCAATGTCGTCTTTATTTGATAAGTATTTTGGATCGATTAGCGGCGGATCGAAAGGATCGCTACTGCGTAATTTTACTTCTCCCTTACTTTTTGGATGTAATAGAACGGGAGCAATTGTTATTGTATTCTTATACGTAAGGGGAGCAAAGTATTCATTATAAACCTATAAAATCGTACATGCAAAATTAATATTCAAACATATTAATAGATATTTTTCAAAACTAATACGATTGATTGTCTTATTTTAATAGACCTTATCAGAAATTCCCATGGTTTTTCTTAGAGCAACACCATTATCCTTTGATATTCCCAATGGCATCACCATTATCTGTAAGTCTGGTATGTTTGATGTATTTTTTTGAAAAGAACTGTGAAATGTTCCTAAAACTTCAACTCCTGCAGATGTCCAAGGACCTAAATTATACAGAATATAAATAGATATGTAATGAGATTTGCTTTATCCAAGTCGAAGACTTTTACCTTTCCCAAAGAGAAAATAATTTATTGCTGGTATAGGATTCAATGTATCAGTCATACTTAAACCTATGCTTGTGTTAAGCATGACTAAATCGATTCCTGTAAGCACATGGTCTACCAAATGTTGACCAACCGGTAAATCACGAATTACGTTTACCTGAACAGTAAATACAATATAACATTGCTATATGAGATGTAATCAAAACGTGTTTCAAAAAAGATGTCTATAAAAAATAAAATAATTTACTTGTAACTCTTCCAAATGTTTTCTTGGTCCAATACCAGATAACATTAATATTTTTGGACTACCAATTGCGCCAGCACTCAGAATAACGCCTTTCCTTGCAATTGCTTTAAATATCTTATTTAGGGTAGTAAATTGTATTCCTATTGCTCTATTTGATTCTATTAATACCTAATAATAATTAATTAATATTAGTACAATAATTATAATCATAACTTGTTATCAAAATACGAGTGATGTAAATTCGATTTCTTAACATACTTTTTCCACATGAGCATGTGTAATGATAGTTATTTTCTTTTTAAAATTTGCATACAATAGCATATCTGTACTCCATCGTTTTCCATCTTTCATTGATAATTGTGCCTTCATAAATCCTAAAGCAATAAAATAATCTTTACTTGCTTTAATTTTCTATTTTTTGCGAACTTACCATGTTTGTAATCTTTGTTAATATTGCCAATATGTTGATGCATTTCTTCCAATCCTTTTAAAACTACATTAGCAAGACTAGTGTTCCATTGTAAGTCACATATATGCATTGGACCACCATTCTGTGTGATAGGTTCTAAAAGTATTTTGCAAATACTGATAACAATGGAAAATAGAAAGCAAACATAAATGTCTACAATTAATATGTTACCAATAAAATCTGGAAACCATTCATCATAATCTGAAGGATGTCCCCGTACGTAAAGCATATAATTTAATCGACTAGTTCCACCAAGAAGTTTGCCCATTGGCCATCTGCTTTGCTAAGAACAAGTTCTCAGTTATACATTAGACTACAATACAGTTATTATAGATTTCATTAAGTATAATACATTATTAGTTAAACCCTTGCAAGCATTCTGTTGAGGTACAGTTACATGTTGCCAGGTGTATGGACTGTTTTGAATTAAAGGAGCTAAGAGTGGAATATCAAGGAAAGGTGGTGCAACTCCACCAGCTTCGAGTAGCAAGATTTCATACCCTTGTTCAGCTAACCTTGCGGATAAAGTTGCACCTGCAGTACCCGCTCCAACTATAAAATAAACAATATTATACTCTTATTTTTTAATTTTATTGATTTATATTTCGTACGTATTAGCTCTAAATTAATTATAAATGTAGCTTACCAACAATGTAATCATACACTTGTAAATCATTGAGATCGTTAAAAAACCGATGTTTATAATTATCAAAGAAGTACGTGAAACTGAGGTAATTCGAAAATATAAATATTACTACAGTAATTACTGTAAAGAGTATAAAATGTAGCATCACGAACACTTTGGAACCATGTCGAAAATTGAGGTTAAGGTATGGTTAACGAAATAATTTTTGACAAAAATATAAAATTTTTACTATACTAAAATCTATGAAGCATGCAAAACGTATTGGTTTGGTTTTCTTTATAATAGAGACTTAACTATCACATTAACTTGTAAAATGTAAGAAATACATCAATATGCAAAAATGATAGGAAATAAATTACAAGAGTATAAAATGTTTATTTAAAAATAAATCTTGTACATCATTTTTAAGACATGCGTTTTTTTGCAACAGTAATCGGCCATGTAACGGGACCCTTTAAGATTATATCTTCCAACAAAGATTTAATTTTTACAAATCTCCGTTTAAATTCTAGACCACAGCCTTTAGATAGTCGGAAATCAACCAGCATTTTCCCATCCATATCGATAATGTTTGCTTTAAAAACCAATGGCATTTTTCTTCTATCCATACTTGATATGGTGATCTATATAAAATTATTATATAAAATCGTGCTAGGATAAATGTATTAATTTCAATAATTAATTTGGTACTTACTGTGCCACATTCATTGATACGACAAGTATAATTTTCATTAGTTAAACAGTTTACTAGTCTTTTTACAGTTGTCTCTAATTCCGTTTTAACAAAGAATCTTGTCATTCGTCGAACCAGACGTTGGAAGGTATTCTGCTGTAAATATGAAAATTAATTATAAACGATAACATATAAACAGAATAGTTGTTTTTTTAATTATAAATATTTTAGCTGTATTACCTGACTTGGTTGAGTAAATTGTTTAGTTTGTGCTTGTGTACATAATAATAAATCTTCTATATGAGCAGGTTGTGAAAATGAGAATCCTGGTCGTTCTTCCAAATTGATTTGTACAGCATTAATTTCTACACCAGGTAATTCAGGTTGCGACAAACAGAATCTCGTCGAGTTTTCATCTTGTAATACCTGCCTTGAATCAGTTTCATCAGGTCGGATATAACCTTCGGTACCTCCAACTAAGATAAGAAATTATTGACAATTATACTTATAATTTAAATAATTATAAAGTATGTATTTATTTGTCAATTAAAATTTGTAATACTTTGATCAGATGTATACGGCAGTGCTCTTTGCTTTGGTAATCTAGCTTTATGATCCTTAATTAAAATCATAGAGCTGTATTACCAAAGTAAAGGCAAAAGCTTCGATAATCTCGAGGAATTGATTTCGATGTTTTTTATTTTAACGTTTAAAAATAAAATTTAAACGTTGATATATTAGATACTTACGGATTTATGAGAAACTCGTTGCTTTCAGCATCCACTCAGCTAGGTACCAAGCTGCTTTGAGTAATTTAATGCATACTCAGAGTCACTCAGTACCTGACCAAGTAGATACTTAATCTTTTCCACAAAGATCTTGCAGAAGCTGTTATACATACAAAGACAAGAAAACATTTCATACATAAAGCATGAATGATACATACACTTTTGGAATTTCTTAATGAACCACCTGTGTCGCTTGATATCTTGTATGGTACATCGGGAGGATGGCGAGTGCGTAAGAATATTTTTAATCAGAGACAATGAAGAATTATCCAACTTTTTCCATGGTGTAAAGGACATGTATTTCCCCTCTCTCCATGCCATATATTCTGGACACTCTGCCAAGGACTGATCCCATGGCAGTTCTATAGTTCAGATACCAGTTAAAAACTAAGAAATGTAAGTTATGCATTAGACCTAAACATCAGACTAGAGACTACAGTGATCTGCACTTTGCGTGTAAAGTTGTTAAGTTATTTTTAATGTATTTAAATACTTTAATAGCAAAGTAAACTTGCTTGTTTAACTTCGCATTATAATTATTTGATCTATATTTTTGTATGTACCAAAGAGATACATAAAAAAAGAAGTTATGTAAAAAATAATATTCATATAATCTTCAGCAATAAATTATTTCTATGTATCTCTATCAAGATTACCTCCAGCTAGCAAAGCCACAAGAATTATACCACAAGACCATACATCTGCAGGTTCAGCATGATAAGGATGTAATAATACTTCTGGAGCAACGTAAGGCAATGTCCCACACCGCCTTTCTAAGCAACGCTCTTTGCCTTGCATACGATATATTGTTGCCAAACCAAAATCAGAAACTTTCAAATTGTCATGTTCATCTAATAGTAAGTTTTCTGGCTTCAGATCTCTGTGAGCAACTCCTTTGCTATGAAGGTATTCAACTGCAGAAATCAACTGCTTAAAATACTTCTGTGCTTCCCATAATGACATGCCAACATCAGGTTCTATTTTAATTAAAGAAATTTTCATTAATAATATCAGACATTCTAGACCTTATATAAATAAATAATAATATTATAGCTTACCAATCCTATCAAATAGTTCTCCACCCGAAGCATATTCCAAAAATATATATTCCATAGTTGGCTCACTACGCTTTCCAAAATACTGTATAATATTAGGATTAGATAACATACGATGAATGGCAGTTTCTTTGCGTACTGTTTGCCTAGCATCTGGATGCTTTTCTAAATCTATCATTTTCATAGCAACAGCCTCCCCTGTAGATCTATTTAAAAGTAATTTTACTCTGAAAGAGAAGGCCAAACTTATTTTTTTAAACAAAAATTTCTAATTGAAAATTCGATTTTTATAAAGTGTTAAAACATTTGTGAAACTAGGGAATATCAAATTCGAAATTCTGAGGATAACCAATAATATATACCGAACTATCGAATGTAAAAATAAAAAATACGCAAACATACTCGCCATAAGCACCTTCTCCTAGGACGTGTCCAAATATCCAGCCATCCACGAATTCCGTCATCCTGCTTCAGCATAACTCTGGGATGGTGACAAGGATCTTTATTTTCTAATCAATCTTCTCTCAACTACAAAAAAATTAATTGTTTTTAATGAAAAATGACAAAACCAGGTTCGTTTCATCAAAGTACTCACGTTAGATCATTTTTCATAATAACTATCGGTCTTTCGAAGCACGTGGTTTTAACCGTGCCGACGAAACATCGTGCTTTTAACAGAACCAAACGTAAAACAAGGATAAATTACATTTAAAATTGAAAACTTGGACAACTTTGAAACTTTCTCTTTGATTCTATTTCTATTAAGCTCGTTAATAACGTATTGACAGGAAAAGGCAATTATAAATTAAAATATTTTTTCCGACAATTGCGGAAACTACTGTTACGAGAAAAACTGCGAGATGACACGGAGCAGGGATGCCATAAATCCCCTCCACTTTTCTCCGCGTGAATCTTACGAAGGTTATGCGCAGACGCGATAAACGAATGGCGCGCGTGCGCAATTTTTGAAGCGCCACGCTGCGCCAGTAAAGTATCTAATACGTTCGTGAAACTGGGGTCCTTAGTCGCCCCCCATACAATAGAATTATGAAAGAAAACAAATGTGAGATAGACGCCTTGTGCAAGACGTGATATTGAAAACTAATGTAAGTTATAGTTACCGCTACTTTTATTCGCAAATTACACGGGCATTTAAAAATGAGAGAAATCGGTTGATTCAAAGTATTTTATCTGTAATTGCAATAGGTATATCTGACACACGGATTTGTGCCACGAGAGGGGAAAATTACAAAAATTTATGCATGAAATTGATGATCCGTTATAAAGTTTAAATATCACAGAAGCTCGTTGATAGAGCTTTTATCTACTTATAGAGTTTACAGATAAATAAAATACAGAACTTGTAAATAAATGATAAGGTTTATCAAATTTAAATAGCACCATCTAGCGTTGTATCTGGGCAACAATTATCTAGAAATGTAGCTCGTCGTAAAGGAATCAAACAGCAAAAACTAAGGGCATGTGTATCTACCTATCTACCTATATACCTATTAGTACATACATTTTTATTAATTTTATTCCTTTTCATTTCGTGCGTTGTATCCAGTTGCATCACATTATGTATTAATTAAGTGAACTAATAGTGTTATTTTTCGTTGATATAGTTATTTTAAAATCAGTGAAAAGTGTTGAAGTTGGTTGGAGTCATGTATCGTAACATATATATTTAGGTATCTATTTACTTTATACATGCTTTTATAACTTCTTACTGTCAATTACATTACATTATTTTTTGTTTAAATCAAGGTTGTATAATTGTTAGAAAATAATTAATATTATGATGCTACAACAAAAAGTTTTCAGTCCAACACATAATACAGGTTAGTTTCGTAATAAAAATATGCATTGTATTAAGAGGAGTTACGTTGTGAAAATGATTTATTATATAATATTCTAATTTCTTTTAGCGGTATACATTCAAGAAATAAAATAGTGGTCATGGAAGAAAATGTTTAAACTATTGCAATAATGGTTAACAAAAGACTTAATTCCACCTATGGATGTATTTTGTATTAATAATTTAGAACAATAATGTTGACATCAACATCAACAATACCTTCCACATCAATAAGTGGCTCTAGAGTATCAAGCCCAATCTGTGATACATTTGATGATAATCCAAATAGACTAACAACATATTTGCATCAGATTGCTGGATGCTATGAAATGGAAGTTGATATAATTGCAAAAGATCATTCTTATGCTCGACCATGGAATTGGAAACCAGAAAATATTTATGTGAAACCAATAAAAAAATTATTTTTTCCCAAGAAAAGTTTGTCAACGTAAGGAATAAAAATTATAAAATATTAAACATAATCATTATTTATATGACTATATTATTATTTTTAATATATCAGGGAGGTACCTGTCCAGGATGAAGAAATAGATGTAGAAGGAGATTATAGCGAACCGCTAATACCACCAGTAGATTTAACAAGAACTCGACATCAAATGGATGAACTTCAACGATTAGCAAATTTTGCCAGACCAGACGAAAATGCAGATTGGGAAGAACGACTTGACAAAATTCTTTGGTCACCTATTCAGAATCGAATATTTACCAAAGTTCTTAAAATATTAAATTCTGAGAGACTTGCAAGGCTTGCCAAAGTAAATGATATCATAGAACCAATTTTTCGACGAACGTCGATTGATACGGCTACGAGGCGATTTAGAGAAACTTTGGCATCAGCTGGGTGGGATTGGAGACTTGCTCAATGGTTGCATAATTTATTGTTCGATCATCTTCCCCAAGAATATCTTGGAATTTATCTTGACATATTGCAAACTTTAAGACTGAAAATTCCTCAACTTGTCGATAAGATGATTACTGTACAGCCAAACATTAATGCAAAAACAGGTTCTATAACATGGGAAACTCTTGGATCTCTCCTTAAACGAACATGGGATCCAATAACTTCAAATTTAAATAGCAATAGACTTGTAAATATTTTTTCTCAAAAAATTACCATGATATATCAGTGTCCAGATTCATAAATGTAATAATTATTGTTATTATAGAAAAAATTACCAGGAAATCCAATTTTAATAATAGCTCCTTCTGGAGTTGGATCTAATATTTCTTCTCGACAACATAAGTGGATTTCACAATTAGGAGCTTTAGGAATGGTTGTAACAGTTCACACGCACTTAGGTTTAGCAGCTAATAGAATGACCATGATGGTGTGCATTGATCAACTGGTTCAAGCTACAAGAACAAAGATTCAAGACATCAGAAGCGATTGTCCTGGTAGGCCAATAATACTCGTTGGTTTCAATACTGGTGCAGCTCTTGCATGTCAGGTATATATTTCTTGTCATAAAATGTTCTGTATATTACATAAAATGTTTAATATTATACAACAATATTTTCAGGTAGCACAAATGGAACATGTAACTGCAGTTATTTGCCTTGGCTTTCCTTTCTCTACAGTTGAAGGAAAAAGAGGTACACCTGATGATACATTAATGGATATTCGATGTCCAGTTATGTTTATCATAGGACAAAATGCTACTCTTGTAAGACCAGATGATTTGGAAGATCTTAGGGAAAAAATGTTAGTCGAAACTGGTTTAGTAGTAGTCGGAACGGCGGACGATCACTTAAGAATATCTACAGCAAAAAAGATATCAGAAGGTATTACGCAAAGTATGGTGGATAGATGTATTTTGGATGAAATTGGAGACTTCGTAGGCAGCATTCTTCTACAACCACATCCATTACCATTAAGGTCGACATTACTATCAAACTACGAAAGCAAAAACAATAGGAAAGAACCTCGAAAACGAAGGAACTCGACGAGCAGTTCCGTTGAAAGTGAGCCGAATTCTCCAACAATAAAAAAGTCTCGACCAAATACACCTATTTCTTCAACAATGTCTATTGGACAAAACATGCCATCAACTACAATTTCGAAAATAGGAACGTTTGGTACACAATCAAATTTAGTCACAGTGAGCGGTGGACATACGAGTCATACACAGACTGTAAAACGTAAACCACGAGTTATTAATAATCAGAAAGCACACTTTGTAGAGCATTTAATAACGTCTAGACTTTCCGGAGAGGTAAATGGTTAATGTAGTAATAGATCTAAATATATGTTATACAGGTAAATAAATTCAATAATATACATTTTTATTCCAGCAAACTTCAAATCCAGATAATGGTGGGATAACGTTAAATATTGGTTCATTAGCGAGTTTAGCGCCTATTGGACCAATACGTTTAGCTCCTGCATCAACAGGTCAAACCGTGTCTACCGCACTTAAAAGTGCTCCTAAATCTTCAGTCTCGTCAACTAAAGTACCTAAGATTATACCAACAAATATGCAACTGCAAAATGTTCCAAAAATGAAAGCAATCGTTTCATCGAGCAAAGGTTTTTCTAAAGTAATATCGAGCAACTATAGGCATTTCAATATTCCTGATAAAAATGGCGATGCAAAATTAGTGAACGTTTTAACGACTTCGGGAAATCAAATTAGAGTTAACACTTCGACTACTACAGGTACACATCACACAACTTGTATATTATATACTTTCTCTAGTAATTTTTGTGTTAATATATTTTTTCATTTTTCTGCATAGCAATACATAGTAAGTGTACAATTGGCACATCAAATGGAAACTTATCAAATATCATACAAAATGGGAAAAATTCTATTACGCTCACACCTAGTTCGTCGTCTGCGCGTGTACCAACAGCTCCTAGTATTCTACTGACACCAAACAACTCCATGGCAACTAGTGTAATACCAACCACATCTACGATATCAAAAGGTAGAATATTATTATCTAATCAGATACTAAGTAATTTACCAACATCGTAATATTTTTTTTAGTTTTTGACAGAACTTACGAATATAAATTTAGAAAATACCTAATATAAGAAATCAACTATGAAATGAATATAAATTTATTTGTACAAAGTATTTTGGTTAGTAAAATTTTGTATAATACAAAAAAAAAGTTTTATCTGCTTAAAATAATATTTTTTTAAACAAAAATATTTTTATTTTCTAAATTTGATAATAAATTTTGTACATATGTATATAAAAACTATGCAACTGTAACATGTATATTTAAAATATATTTCGTACATCCATATAATACACATAAAAAATCATAACAAATTTCTCTCAATATGAATTCCTTTACTGTATACGCAACATTAATATTTTATATATATAGATTAAAATTTTTACTTTTCAAGACTTTTGCTCTTCTATAACCTACTATTCCAATTGGAAGACATTATATAGCTTTATGTAGCATCATGCAGTTTATATCCATTTATGAACAAATTGAATATATGCATGAACACCATCAATATAGGAGTATAAAAATATAATTATAATTACAGAAATTCTTTTATTTTATTTGCTATTACCTGTGTACATTGTAGGTTAAAACTTTGAATTCCTCTATATCCAGTGACTTTGTAGAATAACCAAACTGATTTAATAAATCTGAGAAACTTTATTTATTTCTAGTCTCACCTTTTTTTCTTGTTGATATTAATGCATTTATATATGTAAAACATAAATATTCCTCATAAATTATTCTTGCTGCATAAAAATACTAAGGAAAATTTATACATTTCTTTAGCATGTACTATGACAAAAAGAATCTCCAAATATAGCATGTATTTGTATTATTTTATGGTTACTATAAGTTTGTATATTCAAAAATATTTTAAAGTATTGTGTTATAAATATCTAGTACTGGCTTTTATTTTGTATTGAATAAATATTTTTCTATGTAATTTGAATTTATTTGTTTCCTGATCCCAGTCCTAATCAACATTAACAATGTGTGTAAAATATTGCAATAAAATTAGAGACATGAACTTTTCTATTCTATATACTTTATCTTAGTTCATGTTGCATCGTTGTTATAAGATTGTTAAGTAAAGCTTTGTAAAATAGTTATCATGATACAGTTATATGTTTGATGGTAATCCAATGACACATATACAATAAAAATTAATTCATAAATTAGTTAAAGAGATATCAAATCTTGGATTATACGTTTAACAAATTTTTGCATGATTTATAGTACAATAATAAATATTTTCTTATTTTATTTAAATCCTTGAATTGTGTTCATATTAAGTCACTGAATTATCTATTAGCTCATACTGTAAAAACCTGTTGAAACATACCTGTGTATTTTATAGTGATGGACGACATGGCAACAACCAGTAACTCTTCGCATGCGATGCTCGGTTCTACTCATTCATTGGATACATTCAAGATGTCACAATTACCTCGACAAGTAACAACCTGTAATAACAACGATAATTCTCATAATACATCATGTGGGAATATAATCATGGTTGAAAGTTCTCTTAATGCTAAACCTGCTTGTTCATCAGTGATAGTGCCATTGAGTAGCCATAATTCAGGAACTATTTTACCATTATCTAATAAACTAAAAACTACCCATAAATCTATGAAAATAATGCCAAAAATTACAGTTAATGCATCCAGTTTGCAAAGAATTCACAAAGCAAAACCTCAGACGGTGCAAAAGAATTGTGTTACAAATGATATCGACGACGATTTAGGAAACATATTAGATATACCGATAATCTTTGCAAAGGATGACGATAATTTAAATTCCATCGAAAAAAATCCACCATTATCGCATGTAGCTGTATCTATGGACATGCATGAGAAGGGTACATCTAAATTGAACAGTAACACTAAAGTTGTTCTCATAAGCAACAAGCAAGATAAACTGCAACAAACAACTAATAAGTTTGCAACACCTTCTACTCAAACTATTATATGTCCTAATGTAGGTGTACAAAACTTAAATCATGTGATATTGCAAACAAGACCTCAAAATTCTACCATAGCTAAAACAAAAACTACAATTCCCATACAATCACGGGCAAATCAAGCCACTATTAAATATACTAAAATTATTCTTGCAAAGAGAAATTCTCAGTTGTCTCTTCAAACTGATAAAAATGAACCAGTTATTGTAACAAAGACTGTTGAGAAAGTTAACATACCTACACTCCTGAGTCTTGACAAAAACGAACACAAATATGCACAAATCACATCAAAGCAGTTAACAAAAAATGATGATAAATTAAGAGACGAATTGTTTGAAATAGAAGATGCTATAAAGATGAACATTATAGAACGTAAATATATTCCTATGCAGCGAATAGATCTACCAACTAACCAAGACAAAATAAAACAAACTTCGCCTGAAACAAAGCTAAGTATAAATGAAGAGAATAATTCACAATCTGCTAAACTTGATGATGTAATGAGTTTGCAAATGTAATTATGTATATCTAATTAATTAAATAGCTTTAATAGTTACTAAGTATATGCGGTTCCTTATTGTAGTTTAATTATAATGAAATTAAAACTAACGTTATTTGTAAAAAAAATGACATGTATAAAAACATTGAAAAATTTAAAAAAAACTATAGAATTGATTTTACAAAAATATCTTGTAAACAAAGTTTTCAATCAATATCATTTTGTAATAGCAGTAGTGGAATGTTTTTTTCTTTTTTAACTTGAAATAGTTTTGAGCTCCTTAAAAAAGTTTACAACAAATGTGTAGACCGATATTTTCGAACAACGATTCATACTTCGTCGATACGTGTTATTTATTGTAGACGTATTTGAATGTGTTAGGAAAGTTCTAGAGATCAAATGAAGACTATCGGAGAGAAAAGAAGGAAAATGAACAATCTTCAATTATTTTAATTATTATTCAGATAATATCTCGTCAGTTCGTTTTAATAAAAATATGGACATTTTCTGTTTTTTCCGATTGTCTTCAAAAATCATAATTACTATCGTTACAAATATTAATTTCATTGGCATATCTTGTAATCACAATAAAACTTTGTTTTCGATATATTTATTTTAGAACAATATTTATTTCATAGTTACATATGAGGCATTTAGAGTTGTATTTACTACGCTATTTAAATTAAAAAAACAATTGTAAAAGTTATTTGCAATTATTTACAAAATACGCGCAGATTTAAATAACATACTGTTCATTTTATTCTTGTATTACATGTAAAATTAACTATTATATGCTTTATAAAAATCTACGTATCCATCTGAGAATAATTCAGTGTTATTTACAGAATTAATATAATCCTTGAATTCGCTATTTATAAAACGGTGAGTCGTTATTGATCTTTTAACGTTTGTCTTTTTGGGAATTGGAACTGCTGGATTGAATACAACACCAGTAGGATCATACTCAACATAAAGTTCTTCTGGCGTTCTGAAACAAAACAATTTGTATCTTTTTACAAAATATCAGCTAACAAAATAAATGTATACTTACAATTTGGCAATCTCTGAAGGCAAACTTCCCTCTCCAGTTGGTGGCACTCCGGCAGCAATATTTTTTGCTATTTTTTGTACAGGATGATGATAGTGTCGCTAATAACAAAAACAGATAAAAGAATAATTCGTTGAAAAACAATTATATGTATTTATAGTACAAATTTAAACATAATTTATGTGAATACATACCTGCAAAGCAGCGAGTTCCCATAATGCTGTACAATGTGCATTGCAACATTCGGGTTCTTCTAAATCTGGCTGATAGAAACCATCTCCAGTAGTACAATCAGTATCTAACAAAATATTTGCTGATTTTCCAAGTTGCATACTTTGTTTTATTATGCCTAGAATTCCAAGAGCTGCGTTATGTTGCGATTGCAAAGCTACAATAGCTATTCTTTTGATAAATGATATCAAACGATTTTGTGTGACTCTCTTTCTTCTATGAATTAGAACTTGTACTAAAATTTTTATAAGGAGTTCCATCTCTGAGTGGGTCTTACCACAGTGAATGTTAAATAAATTTTTATATAAATGTACATAAAACCTGCAGAATATAATTATAAGTTTAATCCTAATTTTTTTTTAAAACATTAATTACTTTTACCAACACAAACCTGTAAGGGTCAAGATTTAATGCAGAGCCTTGACCTGATAATATTGTAAACACACATTGAATGCAATGCAATTGATCTCTCAAACTTAAATTGCCTGCTTCCATCAATTTATCTATGACTGTTACCAAATCTTGATAGAAATCCAAGTTTATGCAATGTGCAAACCTGTAATTATTACGTGATGATAGATGTTGCATACTGTAATGAATAACGAAATATAACAAAAAATCATACTTTGCCAAGCCCTCCAAACTAATAGATAAGATTTTACTATTTGGACATTGTTTTAAAACTCTAAAATAAATTGTAAACACTATGCTTGTTATTTCAGTAAGCAACTTTTGTTTAGATTGTTTATTCTCTTCAGCCTTGGTTTCCAACAATTCTTTTTCTACTTGCTCTAGCTTCTTATTTTTCTTTCTTTCACGTTTACTTAAAGCAAGAATTCTTTGTTTATGAGACATGAGCTTTTTTTGTTTGGTTTCTTCTTCTTTCTCTTTATCCAAGTTTACTTCCTTGATACGAAGAGACAGAAGTACAGATATAACTTCAGTGTGAACAGAATGAGCTTTCAATTTTATGTACTGATTTAGCCGACGTACTATCTAAAAGTATTACAAATATTCATGAAAATTTAAAAATGCAGCTCAAATATAGACTTGTAAATATTCAAATTTCTTACTGAAAGGGATAATTCAGCGCGTTTGTCTTCCTTGAATATTTTGGATACGCATGCAGCCACACATTGTCTTACAAAATTGTGCTTATTATCCAATAATGGTATAAGAAAATTTGCTATGTTGACAGAATAATTAAAGTAAGGGTGTGTTGTCAAGAGATCACACATGCAAGTCACTGCAAGTTTGCCTAATTCAATTTCTTGTTCTTTTAATTGTCGTTTATCTCCTCTCTTTTTCCTCAACACACCAGACATTTTCTCTAGTTTTTGCAGATAACGTTTATAATTACTTAATAATGTGGTTTCAAAATTCTGCAGTGCCAGTGTTTCTTTTTTAACTAAAAAAACAAAAGATTTTTTACATATATACTATACATACAACATAAATATCACTACCACAAAAATATCATAACTACATACATTTTACACCTTCCTGTTGAATTTGAAGAATATGATAAGATGGCAACAGATCTTTAAAGACTTCTAATAAAGACACAGTTGCCAATTTTCTAACAGTAATATATACTTCTGGATTAGTTTCTTCCATTAGATCTAACAGTGCTTTAAAATTTTCAGATTTATTTTCAGGTGTTTCTAATAAAGTACTAGAAAGTAATCCTATCTTTAAACGTTTAGATCTTAGTACTTCTTGACGACATGCCAAGAGTTCTATCATAGATACGGGTTCTTTATTTTCATCTTTGTCTTTATTCTACAACATTTTTTGTATGAATATGAATATATAGATCCTTAAGAACCAATAGTATTGAATAGAATGTAGTTGAAGCTTACATTTAAATCTGTTATTCCTCCTATGTTACTCTCTTCTGTATGAAATTCTCCATTAGATTTATTTTCAGTATCTTCAACATTATCTTCATTCATAGTTTCTTCTATCAGCCTTTTCTTTATAACTCCATTTTTAGTTTTTGTTGGAAGTAACATACGAACCTTCTTCATACCTTCATCCTCAATTATTTTTGATACATTATTCTCATATTCTTCCTCTAGTGTTGCTTCATTTTTTCTTTTCTGATTGTTACCTTTCTTCTTACTATCGACTGTTCTAAATTGCACACAAATTATGGTAATTGTAACTTAAAGTATTTAGATAATTTACCAGAGTAAATATGATGGAACATACTCATCCAAGCGTATCTTCTTTAACAAATTATAGGATTTGTTAGAAATAGCTTCCTTGAGAAAGTCTAAGTCATCTTTTTCAACCATATTCATAAGATCTTCTCCATGGTCACTTTCTTCTTCTTCGACTGATTCTGGATGTTGAACTGTCTTTTGAATTTGTTTCTTTGCTGGTTTATGTCGTCTCGTTTTAAGTTTTCCTTGCTTCATAAGTTTAGTTCTCTTTTGATTGTTTCTTTTAATTGAACTAATTTTCAGCTTTCTCTGTTTCTTTGAAAACAAAGAAAGAATGGATAAAAAGCATAATTTTAACCAATAGAGTTAATAATAACTTAACAGTAATGTTAATTAAAAAAAAAAAGTTATATTGGTTTACATATGTATAAAAAAATAAGAAATAGGTTATCAAGTTCCATATTGGTTTTAAATAGTAAAATTATTCTTACGTACCGCCATTTTTTCGTAGTTTCAGTTATCCTACAACAAAATTTTTATTCACTATAATAATTAGGTATATAATTACTATTCTAGCAGTATGAAGCAGAGGTTATTGTGATAACACGTGTTTTCGTATGAAATGCGCGCCATACAACACGATCTAACAAGTACAGCACGTTTCGTTTTCTTCTTTTGTAATTAATATTGATAGAGTAAGCCTAAAGGAATTGCGTTATCTTTAAAAATATATATTATGCATTAAATAATGCTTTTTCATTTATATATAATTCATTACTATATTTCTAACATCAAATATAAAAGTAAGTAAGTAAATACATAGGGTCATCGTATACATGTTTATGTTGAAGTAGTACAAAGTTGTATACAATATTCACACTTTAGGCATTTTATTACAAACAACGAATTGTTGAATGTTTACATGTTTATATTCACAATTGCATCATTCTCAACTCTTGTTTATAATTCATGGCGTATTGAATACATGTAACAGTGCATAAATAATTGATCACATTGTTTGGCGTGTAAAGTGTATTTCAAAGTATTTACAAAAGAGTACGTATGTATTGAGTGATTAGTGTAATAATTCGTATTAATACACGAATCGTCTTAAAACATCAGCACAAGGTAAGTTATGGCTTCTGTATCAATATAATGTGTGTCACAAAAAAGGTTATGTTTTATACTATTATCGATTGGGTGGTTAAGATAAGCTGGACCAAATTATCGTATCGCATTCTGATTTTTCATTAGTGTAATTAATTTAACATTCTTTGTTACATATTCCTAGAATTATAAATATTATTTTCTATGACATTTTTATGTATAACTTACAGGTATGTGTAGCTATTTCTAATTAATGTTAGGATTATAAAAACAAATAGTACGATAATATACTAATGAAAATATACGCCATTTAATTATCATAATGTATACAGAAGTCTTCTAAATAGGAAATAAACAATGAATATTGTCATCTATTATAGTCTAAGTACGTTCTTCGATGATTTGTGAAAGTTGCACCCAAAGAAGAAAGTACAGTAGTTTCATACGAATTCGTTGTTTCGCGAGTACTCAGACTACCAATGAATGTTTCTGGATATACCGCTCGAGAATCTTAATGCGTTGTCACAAATTGAAGTACAATAAAGACCAACATAAAACGTTAATAGCTTTCAATAGGATTAATTTACGAGTGGTACGAAACTAACTGGACATCAGGTCATACCGATTCTGTTAATCGAGAATGTTGTTTGTTATGCTGAGGATATCGTGCAAATACACGCAGAAATACAGCACGAAAAAAAAGATCGGCAATATATATATATTCCTTCAAATTACAGTTAATTCGTTTCTACAATAGAAATAAAGAATGTAGAATCTGTTGATCAATCGAAATATATCCGATCCAGTTGGGGTGCAACGTCGCGATCGCCGAATGCGCATCAAATTGTGTCTTGTGCAATTTTCAAGTGCTATGTATGTGCACGCATACAAGTGGTGGAAATATAGGCGGAATGGCAATTATTTTTCTTCATCTGAATAATAACGCGAAATCCTATTGGTCGATCGAAAGTAACGCCACCGTTAACCGGACCACTCCATCAACCGTGCTCTATACTTTCGCAAATGATCATCAAATTTCGCAACTATTTCTAAATCTCAATCCTTCAACCAATATTGACGAAGGATCGTATGTTTAATAGATAAAGAAAGTGTCATCATCGGAATTATCCTTCGATACTGTCCATGTTCTTTTACCACGTGGATCACGTGGTCCTCCATGCTTTGAATGCAGTTATGATTCTATCTTCGCGGTGGTTGCATCGGTTGTGTGGAATGGAATCGAAATTGATTTGTTTTTCTAACACTGGTCTTAGTTTAACGATTCAATTTCCCAGGGGAAACATTCGGAACGACTTTCGTTGTCACTCTTTCCTTCGAACAGTGAGCCTTCATTTCCCGCGATAGACTTATCGTTTTCGCGGTTAACGTCGAAGGAGCTGTCATCGAAAGCAATGTACAATTGTTTTCGAGAATATTCTTAAAGATTAATCTTTGGGAAATGGAATTATCTCTACCGTGAATTAAATATATTATAAAAAGAGCAATCAACTTGGTTATTAAACTTTAATCACAATGAATTGTTAAGTACCGTATAAAAATAATACGCGAGGGAAAACTTGGTGTGACAGTTCACTGTTTTCACATTTTTTAATGTATATCAAATTACGCGCATTGTCTATTTATTTCAAAGACGAACAAACCTTGCAGAATCGAAGAATACAAACTCGAGATAAACCTTTTTGCGCGCCTTATCGTCTCGATGAATTCGATATACATAAATGGAAAGAAATGCGTAGGAAATTGTACTATTTATTTTGGATCAGTTGTTCAAAGTGACGGTCCAGAGGATTTTTAGCCAATTGTCTTGAACGCAAATAGCTCAAAAAGACATTTCGACGTAGCGAGCATCCAGATGTTTCTTGGCGTTTTCCGACATAGTAAGCAAGTCAGTGAACTGTCCTCGGTGAATATCGTCGGTGGTTACTTAACCTATTGCGGTAGAAAGTCGTCGGCGATTGTCGCGACCGATGCAGTCTTTCCGTTACCACCGTATTGGTTTGAAGGTTCGATAAAAACCATCGACGGTGCACGGGGTTAACGATAACGGTCGCTAAGACGTGGATCTTATATATGGATCTCGTTGAGGTGGTCCTCGGCGTTTCTTCTACGGCGATGGACGCGTGGATCAAAGTTTACGCGATTGTCAACGCTCGCGATAAAACGAACGCGCGATAACCAACGATCGAAATCTGAATACGACCAGTCGAGTTTGACTCTCCTTTACGAACTAAACTACTAAACGAAAGCTCGGTCAGCCGTGTTCCTTTTCTTCTTTTCTTTTCGGCGAGCAGTGGATCGCGTGAGCCACGATACGCACGCGAAAATGGACGGCCTTGTTGAAATTTTCCTCTTCTTCGGAGTTCTCTTCTATTTTTTCAACTTTAGGTAACGTATTACAAACGCTCCCGTTGGATGCCACGGAACTATTCCAACCAACTATCTACCTGTTCTTTCGTTGCTTTCTGTGGAACGTCCTAGTTGTAGATCACTTATTTTTGTACAAACCTTCCGCCGCATATTCTATCGATTTATAATATTATGTGAGTACTGTTTGACAGTTAACCCTGGGTTGCATGAATTTTTTGCAAGTTTCGAAACCCACCGCAAAAAATTATTTCTTCGTTATTTATACGTTTACCGTTTAAGTAATACTCGAGCTAATTAAATTAAAACTAAATACTTCCCATAAGAATATTGCGCAAGAGGAAATTTTAATGCAAAAAGAAGTAGGATAATACATTTTTTCGGAGGGAGCTTGCATCCTCGAAAGAATTGAACTTAAAGATGCACAGGGGTACGTGCGTACTTTACTAGACGCGCACAATAGTCTTCATTAGATCGGATCATTCAAGGCCATTTCGTCAATTAACGTGGTATTCTTGTCCACCGCATAATGTCCCCTTTAAGAGCATACAACTTTCATCCAAATATTCATCAAATATTTGTTCGTATCGTTAGTTATAATATATCAGTGATATTTGCGGGAATTGATTAAAATATGACCTTGCATCACCTTCAGATAAATTTTATTCGAAATAACGATTTGCAATGGCGATTAAAATTATCGTTAATCGGTGAGTCTCATGACTACTTACGATTAAAATAATTGCTTGTCTTGAGTTGAAGCAATCGTTGTCCTTCATTTTTTATAATTGTCGAAAATTCATTTTAAAATTCAAAGAAACTAATAGAGCTGTAAGTCAAGTTCGTTCGTTCGTTCTTCAACGTATCTAATGAAATTTTACGGACACCAAAAGAAAGACAAATTATCGAATGACTTATTTCTATAGAGCACGAGTTGATAAAAGAACATTGTTCATTTTCTGATCGGTACAACGTCCGTAGTATGAGACGCACGGAGCGTGTACACGGTCGTTGAAACAAACATGACAACGAAGACGTTGCCGAATCACTTTTCCTTTTAAAATTAAGGAACTGACAAATATAGAAGCATTCGGTGCACTATTACAGCTCTGAAACTTCCGACAAGAATTCTGAGTGCGTGGTGCCTCCAGTATACTTGTTCAACAAAATTATAAATCAAATCGTAAACAATATGCTTGTACACAAGAACTTCTTTTTTGTCATATCCGATCAAGCGCTATACAAATATTTTTTTATTCCACTACATACAACAAGTATCGATCTTTTCAGACATGTACAGTGAGTCTTGTGTAAGAAGGGACCCTGGCTGTTAGACGTCGACGGGATCGAAATTCTTCCAAGCCGAGGCTCCCTCCTTGGTCGTGACCTCTCTCACTTGATATGGTGTGGGCAGTTCCAAGGAGTGATAGGGATAACCACGTGTCTCTTAGACAAGGATCACGCTCAATCTTCATGCCTCTTAAACAAAATTCACCATTTCTTTGCAATTCATTTTTAAAGAACGCTATTGTAAAACTTTCCCTGACATTGAAGCTAGACATTTAAAAAGGTGGCGCTAGTAAACAATAAACAGCGTTTTATATCTGTTCCAAAAAAGCTGAAATCTCACGCCACCGATTTATCTAGGCGCTTCTATTTCCGAGATAGAATGGAACATTCAATACCGATTTATGTAACCGATACGCGATATCCTTCGCACATAATTAGAATCATACGGACGGGCGATCCCTTTTCCTGAACAACGTCGATTCAATTGCTTCGTAAATTCGTCATGATAATCAGTAATAACGTTCAATAGATATTTCTAATTCCCATTGTGCTTCAACAGATATTTCCTAAACAATCGTGTATGCTAACAAAGAGTTCATCTATTGCGCACGTTCAATTTTTGCGGTCAGATCTTCGATACCGATGGTATCTTATTTTCTTCCGTGTCTTTACTGTCTTCTATTGGTTTATCGCTAAACAACGCATGCTAGCATCTAACGTTCAACGTCAAGTTGACATGATCGAAAAAATAGGAAACCGCATCCGATTGCACTCAACTGAATCGACCCGTTAAAAGTGACGGAAATCGACCGTGAATGATGCGCAGTGGCATTCGAATGCAATGTCCATGAAATTGTGCTTGTATCATATTCGCTATGCTTGATGAAATTCACGATAGAGAGTCATTAACGAAAATAAAATTGGATTTCTTGCCTAGCTCCATTTAATAACGTTTACTATATTCACTCGAGTTATTCCAAGACTTCTCTAACACTTTTAAGTCGTCGCTATAGCATTCACGATTTTAGAGCATCTCTTTAACTCTTCAAACAAAAGCAAATCATTTTCCTCCGGAAAAAAAAAAACGTAAATTAATGAAATTTTGTATTTTGTTTTTAAAGACCTTTTTTTAAATTGAATCGTAGGCCGAACAACATGGTGGACGTAGTTTCGACACGTTTGCAAGAGGTGTACGCGAAATGGGAGACCAGAACGGAAGTGAAGAGAAATGCTGAAACGACCACAGCTCGATTTCCATTAAAGGGTAAGATTTTCCTTCGACGATGAACGATACTTATTTAGCCACTATTATATGTAGAAATCGTTACGTTTCAGAGTTTCATCGAACGGGTCATCTATTGCATAGCAAGAAGATCCAAGATAGAGAACATTTGAAGAAGATTAGGGAGAGTTCCCTGTTTCAGATCAAAGAGACAGAACCGTTGACTGCCTGTATTAAAGAAAAACCTCCATTTTTACAGTATTGTTGTAACGTTTGTACTCCGTCGTCTAAGGTGAGTTTACTATATAATTAAGATTTTTATATACTGTTATGTAAATTTCAAGGAACATATACGACGTCACGCGTTCTCGAATAACCGTATTGCATGATTTCATGTTTGGACGTCTAAAGTCGCGACGTTAACGGCCGTTTAAAGTGTCAGTAGCGCATTATACTATAGGCAAAAAAGAGCCTATCTAGTTTTTATAATGCAAAAACAACCAAACAATTTATATTACGTTTATCTTAATTCGTTCAAAGCTACGTCGATTTGGAAAACACGTTAAATACTACTTAATAATTAATTAACGTTATAATATTCGAAACGCTCGGTTTTAAAATCGTAAAAGGGCATAATGGTTGAAACAAAGTAGAGTAATATTTGTATTGTAATGTAATTCACATCTTCGAGTTAACGAATCCAAAATAAATTAAGTAAAAACAGTATGCGGTAGATGAATAGTCGCGCGCGTACGCCTCAACACGTCGACATTGCGCGTTCACATCCCTACACACTAAAAGTATATTTAGCTTGCGAACTAATGACCAGCCTACTCACAAAATTGCGAATATTACGGTTGCACATGTGTACGTTTTTCTTTGCGTAGTTCAGAGTTACTAAATACACGCCTTGTTTACCCTTAACGTTTATTCGCGTATTTATAATTCGGCAAGTTCGTTAAATCGACGAAATTTTGTGAATACATCGAGTGTGCCCATGATATTGTTCGGATAAATCGTGATTTATTATGAATAATTCGTTGTACAAGAATACATTCGTCGAAACAGTAAGAAGTGAACGTTTTGTAAAGTAACAACGATGACAAATAATACCGTCGAATTATTTTTAATGTATTAAGAATATCGTGGTGAAATATACGTGTTCCGATTCGAGTAAAACAACAATTTTAATTTATCTTTTATTTATAGTATCTGAAATTTGTATTGCGTTCGTCGATGTAATTAATGTCATTTACAGCGCAATACAAATCCATTATTATCTAATTAAGGTGTCATGTTTTGACACGCATTTTATTATGTAACTTTTGCATTGGACACAAGTCAATTTTTTTTGATAAGTAGAGTAATCACTGTCTGCTCATAATCACATACACGTGTATTGCTATGTATAGATGTATATCAAATTTCGATTGCATAATTTTATCATTTTCTTTCATATAGTTTACGAGAAAAGAAAGTATTGTTTATAATACGATCGACAGGGGTATAATACAAAATAAACTTGGATGCATAACAGCTGTTGATACAAACAATGTGATTCTACCGAATAAGTGTTAATAGACTTCACAATTAAATGAAACCATCTTCAAATTTTTTTTTATCGTAATATTATGTGCAAAAGCTGATGCGTAATCGTTGTACTAGTAATGATAGTTCGGGTAAGCACGCGATAATTTAAAAATAAAAAGAAAAGAACAGGAAAAATGTACGAAGAGCCATGTGGACTTTTTTCACGATGGTTGCGTATTATCGTCGTACGGGGGTATCCAGTACATGTAAGTCAACCATCAGTGGTTGAAATGTTCTTGTTTAATCTATATATTTTCCTTGATATTTAAAAAAAAAATAAGACTAACATTTCGTAAGTTTTTCATAAACACATCGAGGTTTTGTATTATTATAGGATTCATTGGTAAATACAATTAGCAAACAGCATATGCCCTTTGGTTTAAATATATTGGAAATTAGTCCAGGGTGTACACTTCTCTCCAAAATATTCCACTTTATTTCACATATTTATAACCGTAAAATATACGATTATACAAGAGTAACACAAACAGTAAGTGTACAATTGATTGAGAAATATTTTATGTTTGTTAAAGTGTTATAAATCTTGTCTTCCATAGGTTTCATAAATTAATTTTCCCCACAGGTTTTGAATGACGAGAGGTTACAGGAATCTATAAAGTTGACTGCTTGGGAAGCAGTTAATAATGAAGGCTGTAGCGAGAAAGAGGCTTTGGCAACAGCAAAAGCTAGAGCCAAAACAATATTGCTTGAAATGGAAAGCAGGCTAAGCAATACTTTACTTAAAATAACTGTATGGATTCTTTACAAATTGTTACCATGTTTTATACAGTCTGCTATAGTATTACCTTCTCAAATAGAGATGTTGAAGAAGGCGAATGATACGGGTCTTCCTTTGATATTTCTTCCCTTACATCGTAGTCATCTAGATTATGTCATGATCAGCTTCATTTTATTGACGAATGACATTCGAAATCCATTGATTGCGGCTGGAGATAATTTAAAAATTCCATTTTTTGGGTATGCTATAAGAATAAATATTTCATAATCTTATTTTGCTAATATTTCGTTTTTTATTTTATTAATCAATGTTCGTATATCAAACAGGTGGCTTTTACGAGGTTTAGGTGCATTTTTTATAAAACGTCGAATTGATCCAGTCGTGGGTCGTAAAGATCTTCTTTATCGTGCTACTCTTCACACATACATAGTGGAAAGCTTAAGGGCAGGCCATAATTTAGAATTCTTTATAGAGGGTGGGCGAACAAGAACTGGTAAACCATGTATGCCGAAAGGTGGCATTTTAAGTGTCATTATTGATGCATACATGGATGGAACTGTTGAAGATGCACTACTAATACCTGTTGCAATGAATTATGAGCGTCTTGTTGACGGAAATTTTATTAGAGAACAGCTAGGTCAACCAAAGAAACTGGAAACATTTCGATCTACAATTAGGGCTATGTGGGAAACCTTAATGGGACATTATGGCATTCTTAAAATTGATTTTTGTCAGCCGTTTTCGCTTAGGGTAATAGTTAATAGTTCTTAGAATATTTAATTATATAATAATTATATTCATTAAATTACTCAATTGTATTATTTGATTGATAGGAAATGTTGAAATCCTTTCAAACTCAACAAAATAAATTGACTAACATAAAAACAGCTCCTGTTGAGAGACCTTTGAAGTATACAATGTCAACTTCATCGCTTTATGGTACAGACGTTGTTGTGGAAGAACACCGTCAGTTAGTAGATAGTATTGCACGACATGTTGTATATGGTAAGAAGGAAATTAATTTTATCTCTGTGGCATGAACAAATTTAGTGTGAAACACGTAAAATAATTTTTAGATTCTTCTACCTCAACGCCGATAATGTCGACGAATGTTGTTGCGTTTTTACTTTTAAACAAGTTTCGGGATGGTTGTACATTGGATAAATTAGTCGAAGCATTTGATTCAATGAGACAAGATTTAGAATGCCGTAATAGAGATACTGCATTCTGCGGAGAAAGTATTGATATTATAAATCACGCTGTTAGTAATATAATTGTTCTTCTGATAATAAAATGTTCACAGTATATTTTATCACGATAAGAAAATTAATTGTTGTTTTTTCAGCTGGATATTTTAGGTCCAGGGTTAGTAAAGCAGCAAAGACAAGAAATTACAGAAGCAGCTGACGGTCAGTTAATAAAGTCGAATGTTGTTACTGCGATACGTCCTGTATCAATTTTGCCAAATGTAATTGAGCTATCCTATTACAGCAATACAATGCTAACATGTTACGTTATGGATAGTATAGTAGGTAAGAATACATATCAACCTTTAATGTGTTCACTTTTCTAAAGTATCCATCATATTTTCAGTAACAGCTTTGTATGCTGAATTGAAGTCACAGATCAATGATCCAATAGCCATTGCTCAAAACAATATTACAGTATCTCAAGATTTATTAATTCAGAGATCACTTAAGCTTTGTGATATCTTTAAGTACGAATTTATTTTCTGTAAACCATGTCAAGAATTAGAGCGCATTGTTATAGAAGCTATAGAGAATCTTTCATATACGAGTATCATTACATTACAGGAGGTATTGTATTCTAACATAATTATTACATACACTGATTAAACAAACATGTTTTATATAAATTATACGGTAGGAATGTTATTTAACCGAGGAGTTCTGGAGTCGAAGATACGCGCAAAAATTTGATGATAGTTCAGATGAAGAACATTGTAATCAAAATAGGGCTAAACATATTCAGTACAAAGTAAGGTGTTTTTTTATTAATATCAAAAATTACTTACGTTTGTTTGTATAACTATGATTGCAATGTTTTACGATTTTAGTTGAGCTTAGTACCAGAGGACGCGAAACGCATGGAATTTTTGCACACGTTATTACGACCTTTAGTCGATACCTATACTTTCAGCGCCTTTACTCTTAAGAAACTAGTAGGACGGTCGCTTTCTGAAAAAGACCTCGTTCAAGAAGTTTTAAGTGAACTGAAAACGAATTTAGATCGTGGTATTGTAAATTATGGTAAGTAATGATACAATATTTCTATGGTAAATATGGTCCGTAATATATCATAAGAAAATAATATATTTTTAATTTTGTTATAAAACAGGTGAGAGTTTATGCGTTGATCCAATAAAAAACTCGTTAAAGTTGTTCGAAAAATGGAACGTTTTGGAATGTCATCCGCAGGAGAACATTAAACTTTTCTATCTAAAAGACGAGTATGATACAGACACAGCTGCAACGAGTATCTATGAAACTATAGCAGCGTTTAAATGGTTTAGAAACATAAATTAGAAAACAACCTACTCTAAACAAACAACTTCTACATTGTACTATTTTGTTGTAAAGAAAGATTTTTATAAAATCTTGTACATAGTGGTTCCCAAACATTAAGTAAGATATAATTCTACAGAAAAAAAACTGTTTATTAGAACATGTGAATGGAAATTTACAAATTGTTCTACGAAGATAGACTTCACGAAATAGTTTATAAAGTCATAATGATATACAGTTATTAATATGATCTGAGTTATTTGATTAATTATACGTACAAAGTCTTTATATACATGGTTAATGTGATATTACTATACATGAACATTAAAATATTATAGATTTATAATTACTTCGTTAATAAAAATAATCTTGTATAATATTGGTTCGAGTATCAGTGCATTCTTGATTAACATTAAGAGGTTATGCTTGAAAGAATACAAATATTTTTATTATCTTCTTATTAAAGAACACAGATAAATAACTAAAACAGCAAATTTTATACAAAACATTCACGTTTTATGTATATTAATATAAAAAATAAATATAATTAGGAATATGTCACCAACATATGGTTCAAAACTTAATAACCGAAGCAACAGGATAACTTCTTCGTATACCCATGCATTTTTCTCTATCGATAAATAGCGCATCGACTTTAGATTTTAAATCAGTTTCTAAATTAGATCTGGTGCGTAGTAGCTGTTGATGTTGTGCTTCAAATCTTTGTAATTTTAAATTCATATCATTTATCATTGAATGTATAGTTTTTACTTCCTCGATCATTCTATGAAACCACGTCAGAACATAAAAAATTGTATAATAACGATTAAGTTTCTAATAATTCATGATTCTTTAAAAATATATACCTGAGTTGAGCATAATCTTTACATAATTCTGCTTCAGGCCGATGTGTTCTACTTTCAAGTCGCGTGTGTGCCACTTTCAAAGCAGAACTTTTATCTGCAATGGCTTTTTGCATTAATTGTAAATTTTTTTCAATCTCAAAGATCTCTTGTTGAATCTATAAACATAAATATAAATTAAGTAGTGGTAGAATAAGTGGCGACTATACAAATATCTCGTAGTATGCTCTTTGATCACTTTATGTAAATGTATTTGTAATTTTTCTTTTGCTTCAAGCATTTCAGCAGCCCTTCTAGACAATGCATTGTTTGTATTGCCCCATGCTTCCCACATTTCATGTCCAACTGCATTTATAGCGATTTCAATATCACTTTGAAGCTGACTAGATTTTGATCTTTCCAACTGTGACTTTTTCACTACATTGTTAGATGCTTCAGCCCATGATTCAGCTTGTGTAACACTAAATGAGACATTTAGCAATACATAACTTAGTATGTATATGATCCTAAACCATATTGTTAAGTCAAGAGCTGTATTTATTTTATCACCTATTATCATAGTTTTCAATACCACCATAGTACTTCAAACCACGACTGAAATTATTCATCTGATGACACGTAATATCTATCCCAAGTGCAGTTTCTTTATTTCGTATGTCAATCTCTAATTGATTTTGTACTGCTCTGCTGTTTGTAAGCTGAACATAAAATTCTGATATAGAATTACCCTTCCCAATTTGTTATCTTTTAATTTTTAAACATACTTGATTAACACATTTATCAGTAAAGTGTTCTAATTTATTTTGACAGTTCCTGACCACCTCTACCTCCTTTAGAAGAGCATGCTCAGCTTGATCATGAACCAAATCGGAACCTAATTGCATTTCAAAATGTAGAAGTTACTTTAATGAGAACAATATGGTCATCAATTAAAATTTAAAACCTGTCCTAGCCTCCCGATAATATAAACATTCTTGTGCTATATGCAGCTGTCCTTCTAAGCTTTGTATCGTTGTTTGTAAGCCTCGACGGCACTCCTGCATCTTTGCATTTTCAATTATCAAACGTTCTAATTCGGAAGTTACTTCATTTTTCCAATATGTGGTATCTGTAATTCTTTCTCCTAATTTTCGACCTGTTTCAGTTTGACCATTTTGTACTTTCTCATCTGCTTCTCTAAGATTACATTGACAAGTTTTAGCATACATTGTTCTTTTAAGTACCATTCAATGCCTGTTGAAATGTTAAGATCATTTTACCGCATCATCCGAACAGTATCCTGTCTTAAGTTTTCCGAATAATTTCTGTTGCTATTAGATTCATTGTACAGCCTCAGTTGGTTTTGTACCCATTCGTATGGACCATATCTCGTGTAAAGCGCAGCCCGTGCCGCGTGTGCTGGATTTCTATCGAAACCAGTCACCAAATTTGGAAATCTCATTGGTTCCGTAGCCATTCCATTCGGCATATAACAAGTCTCTGACAACAGATTTGTCACAGGTTGTGCAGGTCTAAAGTAATTATATAAATTTTACTTATATAAATTTTGCTTATGTTAAGTTTTTTATGTTCTTACAGAGAAAATGCTTCCACGGTTTCGTATCCCAAAGTAGGACGCCATGGATGTGGTTTGGGAGTTTTATAAAATTCTCCTACTCTAATCGAAATAGGTGGACCAGCAATTTGTTCCATACAGGGTAATACACCCACTGTACTCCATGGTTGGAGTTGCTAAAGTTTCAATAAGAAATTAATGCGATCATTATTCTCACGATTCAAACCTGCAGGACACAAACCGAATACATAACAGTTTCTCTCTTCTCCTCGATTTTATTACTATCCATGATTAACTTGATTATTTAAATAATAATTAAAATTAATAATGATAATTTAAATAATAGATAAACAAGAATATTTGACGTTTACGAAAATTTTATCCGTTTAAAATATCATTTAAATATCCAAGTTTGTAAATGGTGTTCATTTAAAAGCCGGAAACAAACTCGTCACGTGACGTCTGTCATATGATTCCAATCCTAGTCAGGTGCTCCGTTCATTTCTGATCAATTGTAGGCGGATCAGTACTTATCTGACTCGTCGAAATTTGTTTCTTCGGAAGGCATCATGACACAATTTCGTAGTGTTTTTAGCTTTGTTCTCACGTTAATCGTCGTGTCACAGATTTCATCGTTGCACGCCGAGAATGCTGTACCTGTATTATTATGGGGCGGTTTAGCTGATACCGATTCGGAAACGAGTGCAGTGAATCCATTTTTAAAAACTTCTAGCAAAGAATTCGATTTGTTTCTACGTAAAAAGTTGGAAACTTCTCCTCCTGTTCTTCTTTACGTGAAAGATAATCTGTGCGTCGAGGATTTAGTGAAACACAAACAGGTTAGTGTATGCGAACAACCTTCAAAATCGTTTACTGCTGGACTCAAATATTAATTTAAAACATTTTTAACATTACAGAATCTTCATACAGTCGCCACTGGCGATTCGTTAAAATATTTTCCTGCCGTTGAGAAAGCGGTAAATGTTGTCGAAGATTTGCCATCGTATAATCAAACATACGATGATTATACAGATTCAAAATCTGAAGGACAGTTGTCGATTATGCCTATTACCAATCTAGATATAGTTCCAGAGACATATAAGACGATAAAAGAGTCCAGTCCTAATTTAATAGCTATTCTCACAGGAAGATCATGTAGTTATAGCCGTTCTGAAAGAGTTAAGAGAGATACCTCTACTCTATCTTCTAATTCTTCCGCTTTTATTGCTTCATCAGAGAGAATACTTTTGTATTCTAGTCAAGCATTGTCACTGAAGGTAATTTCAAGACAAGTTCAATAATTATCAACGAATACATTCTTCATAAGTTACAATTCTAATAAACTTTATAGCTTGTAGATGTCATAAACCTTCCACTTAAACATACGAGTATACAAGAAGGACAAGGTACAAAAGAGTCTCCATTAGTATTGAAACTGTTATTCAATGAAACGGATTCATCTGCGATTAAGCATATACTCCATTTTAAATTTGAGGTCAAAAGTACAGGATACTATACTCTTAAAACAGTAATTTATGAAGGAATTAATTACAAAATCAAGGATAGTACTAATCACAGCCTGACTACGTACACGGATATTGTTTTTCCGTTTAATTTTTCTTATCATTGTTCACAGAACGTTATTTTTGAACAAAATTCTACTATCTTAAATATCATAGATTTGCAAGTGCAAATCGATGCAAAGGCATTTAAAAATGGAAAAGCATTTAGCGATGCGTACGATTGCGTTGGGTTTACTACAATTCCAATTTGGACAGGAATATTTGTCACTGCCATATTAGCTTTAATCATGATTTGGGCTCTTACTATGATCATGGATATTCGTACTATGGATAGATTTGATGATCCTAAAGGAAAAACGATCACTATTTCATCTCAGGAATGATATGATAATGCCAAATTAGTAAAAAAAAGAATATTCTTGTGTAAATATATACCATAAGTAGTATTGACTCAATAAATTATCAGTTTCAGGCTGATGATCCATGCATATATAATCTTCATTAGAGTGTTTTCAAATATTATATATTGTTTAGATATACTTGGTTGTTATATTGATTTTAATTTTATGAAATAATACTATACTGTGAGAAGATAAATTTAATCATTCCAATTACCTAACATTATGTACTTTTTTTCAGTATTTATATATTTGCTATATATGATAATATCTTTTTCCCGTAATATTTATAATAAAGCAATGCATAAATTGTAGGAACTTTGTTTTAAAACAAGAAAAGAAGTATATGATGCTATGTACTAGCGTATCTTTCGATCATAAATCAGTTTTGTGATATACTAATGGTTGATTGAAATCAATGTAAAGTTTATAAAAAGATTCGTATGGCAATTGTTGTATAATATAGTGCATTTCGCATTGACTATAAGAAATATCTATGCACAGATTAATGATAGTTACATATACACATACTCGTAGATACAGATATATACATACATATACACGATACTACATAAAACTCACTCAATTATTTAATTCTTTTATTGATTTCCATTACTCTTTTCTTTCTTAGCGAAAGATTGTAAAAATATGTTTTATGAGACCGTATTATAAATTTTTAATATATGAAAAATGTATAATATAAAATGGTTGTATAATCATGCTGGTTCATTAAGTAACACCTATGCCTCACAAGCTGGAACCTTTACACCATGTATTACAATGAATACCATAGAATAGGGTGGCAATGTAATCACTTGTGTAGGTTCTAATATTATAGGCCAAAATGGTGGTAAACTCCCATCAGGTTCCAATTTTAATATTTTTCCATTCATTTTTATATCTCTAAGAATAAGAGCAATAGGATTAGGTACATTAAATTAATAATGAGTTGTTACATAATTGCCATTAAATACCTTGATTGAAGATTATCAGAAGTAAATGCATATAAAAAGATTTTGGCATTTCTGTGAAGTGCAGAATAAATCCCTTGAATAGTTATATGAACAGAAACTTTGTTTATGTTCACTCCATATATTGTAATTGCTGACACTCTACTGATTAATGCTTTCTTAGAGGTACAGTGTGCATAAAGTCGCACACGGTCAGAGTTGTTTAAAGATGTCAATTTCAAAACCTTTTCTGACACAAATTGTTTATACATTACGCTAATCCACCAATCTGGATTTGGTATAAGATCAGGCCCCACCATAGCATAATATCCACCAAATAATGATTGTCTGGTGACAACATTTAAACCTGTGCTGGCAGAGTATCCTAATTTATCAAGCCATAAAAATCCACCCACAAACCTATCTGATAATTCTGGAGCACCCCCACCATAAGCTGTACTAGTTTCTGCTGTAAATGAAATTTTGGTAAGTTATTTTAATTCAAATATATCAATGCAGCAAGTATAAATGTATAATCACATACATAACCACATAAGAATATTTTTTCCTGATAGCTTAATTGCTTCTTTCATAGATTTAATTTGCATTGGCAAATAATTAAAGGTGGAAACGTTTATGAAGTCAGCTACTCGAGCTTCTCTTCCATTAAGATAATACTGATGCCAAGTAACATAATTTACACTATCTTTATCATTTTTTAAAAACGTTTCTGCATAACATTCTCCCTGATGATTGGTATCACCAATATGATTTACTTCTGGACCAACAAGAATACTTTCATTATATCCTAGTTTGTTTAATAATTGTCTTAATTGATAATAATCATTTGCAAGTTGTGCAGCATTGACAACCCTATTAAATACATGACGAAAGGAATTTGGTTCTGAAATAATTATCACACATTAAATATAATTAAAAATGATTAATAAATTAAAACACAAGAACGAAATATAGCTTACCATTCCCTAACTGCCAATCTAATTTCATCTGTTTATTTTTGGCAAATAAAATAATATCTTTGGCGTTAATATCGTCCCAGGAATTATCAGCAGTTCTAATCAATACATTTAAATCGAAGATCATGCGTAGCTTCGATTTTATAGCAAAGTTATATAAATTTTCGAAATCTATTTCGGTTAATGTAAAATTACTTATGTCATTGCCATTTATAGGACTAATTATTTTCTCCGGAATTATTTGCGTTGTCTGTATTGGTAGATTTATCGAAACTATTTACATTTAAATTGCTTTCAAATTAAAAAAAGAATGTATGTTAAGAAATTGAACAAACCTGATTGAAGTATAAACAATCTGACGATGTACCACCTATTCGAACATAAGCAGGTGCAAGATGCCGAGCTAAGTTAATAAATTTTTCATTTTCAATTGGAAAGTTTATCATATCGCGTAATAAAGAAGTATCGAGACCGAAGGACAAAAATTTTGTTGATACTACATGTAAAGGTGATCGTTTGAAATTCAAGTAAAATACGTGAACGTTACTAGTTTCATTTATCGCATTGTTAAAATTCCATGCTGACAATATTAATAATATCATACAAATGCCCACTACGATTAAACTAAAAATAGGGCGTAACGTTGACTCTGAAATTAAAAAGGACAATTTATATTTATTCATATAGAGATATTCAAAATTTAAATTTCAACGTTTAGGCATGCGCAATGTATACAACATGGCAATGGCAATAATCTAATACGCCGTTAATGCAAGGTGTATGTAAAAAAAGTAAACACAATGTTTCCCGAAAAGTATAGTTAAGTGGATGCTCCGAATTATGGTGCATGTCGTACAAAATACTCTTAAAATATAACCTATAGTAAATTTGAATTGATCGACTTACGGTTATGAACTTCATCGAGTCTTTCGTACTGATGTTTACCCCGATCGTTAGTTACAAAATAACTCATATTCTTGAAATAATTTTTCAAACGATTTATTAAATATTCTTAATTATTTATTCTTATTCGCAATAAAAGAAAAATACGCTTGTTCGGTAATGTTAGTTTCGTTTGTAGCAACCGCGAACAACCACGAATAAGTGAATAAATACAAGCTTCGTCCCAGGGCTGACTGCGCTGCGAATCGATCCCTGTTATAAATATTTTTAGGATTAAAAAAATGTTTGTGAAATGTACAATACTTATTTGGATCAATACACTATACTCCATTAATTACTTTTAAAGAAAAGGATCAGTGATTTCGAGAATCGTTTCCCGAAGACGATGTCGAACAACTCTTTCGACGAACTTTTTTATTCGTTAACACTGAATTACGTTTTTGTGCATACTTGTGCATTGAATTTCTACATCTTGAATAAACATTCTGATCGTTACACGAAAACAGGGGTACTTTTTTATACGCATATTTCTTTTTTGTAACACTACATCCAGGTTGTAATTGTTCCACGCCAAATCGTCCTGCATATCGACTGTATCTCTCCTGTTTAAGAACTGTACAAATAATGTAAAAGAGATATTTCGAATCTATGCTTTTTATGCATAGATTATAATATTATAATAAAGAATTCTATCGATGCACGCATTTAATAATGAAATACCTCTCGATGAAATTTGCTCAGATATCGAATCTATGCTAGAGCTTGATGATTGGAAAAGTAATGATCGTAATGCGATACGATTTCGATAAGAAAAACTACGACGACGTTTCTGTTTTGGATTTAGTTGTTGCTTTGATTCTGAGCTACTTAATTCATCCTCCCCCCAAAACGGCCTATCAGTGTCGTCTGACGTTGGCGGTATTGGTAATGGAGACTTAAAACATGTTTGATTATGTACAAGCATATGTTGTATTATTATGTTTATTAAAAACTTACAATTCCTTCACATTTCCCAAACGATAAACGTGGTTTATCAGTAATACCTGATCGAGCTCGTAATTCAATAGATACTGTACTATAAGATTGATTTTCATAACCTTCGTCATCTTCAGAGCTATGTATCGTTTTTCGTGTATCACCGCTAGCATAATGACCCATTACGGATGTTACCTAAATTTTCAGAAGTATTACAATTATAAAAATTAATTTTTTTAATTTGTTGTATAAATTTGAATACACTTGTAAATTTGTATGTATTTTTTCAAGGTACGAAACTTGGGCGTTTATTGAACTATTTGAAATAAATGGTAGGTTAGTAAGTTTTTTTTTTATTACGAGAGAACAACCCAGAACAGTCTCCATTATTGTAAACGCTACAATTAAAAGTATTTGTTTTGATATATTTTTGTTTTTAAAAATTTATTCATGAACAAGAATTATAATTCATAAAACATTTTTTATTAAATGTTTGTCAAAACAATAGCTCATGACAATAAATTTTTTATTGTAGAAACAATTAAATACAAATGACGAATATTTTGTATTTACTGTACATTTGGTGTGTATCCACAAAGACAAAATTGATTAAATCAATTTTACACGCGAAGTACAAAATGTTCTTTTTCGCCCTTAACTATTAGGGAAAAATAATAAAATGGAATATGAAGTCATTTCCACTCATACATCTTTTATGTCCAACATTTTCTCTTGAGGCCAATGGACAAACTTTATTCTTTCACTTTCTTGAACAAAGTTTTCGTGAACTTTAATGTTATCATATTACATATAGATAACAGATAGAATACTCTAATCATTTTCTGATTTTCTGCGTTTTTTTGAACGCGGACTATCAGTATCATGTGGACTAGGAGTAATATGACTTCGTTTTCTCTTTATACTACTTTCACTGGCCTCGCTACTGCTACTCGCCGCAGTTCTTGTTTCTCTTCTAAGCGTTCCCTCGCCTGTGACTTGTACGAGTATCTGAAAAGAGAGTAAAATAATGTATGTCGTTGATGATAACAATTATATCAGGTATGAATTCTACATTCTTACCTGCATATGTTGTAAACATTCTTCCTGCATTGAAACTGCCATTTTATAAATAAACGTATCATGTTTATTATACATAATGGCATTTTGAAACATCAGCATGACATCGCGTTGAAAATGCATTGTAGATCGAATGGTGCCATTATCTATATTCTTTTTAATAGTAGATAAGTCCATTGGTCTAAAGATGACAGAATGATATCCAGGTGCTTGGTCTTCAGTAATAGGCCTCAGAAATACAGAAGCATATTTATGTGTAGCTAGACGATTGTAAACTAACATTACTGCTTTCTTCCATGCTCTGTAGTCTGCACCTTCTCCAGTAACTTCATTTTCTGGTTCACTGTCGATAGAAGCATTTTGTTTTTTTGAATAAGTTTTCATAGCGCGTCCTCCGCTTAATTTACTCAATGATGATTCTTCCTCGTCCAATTCGACAGTATCTTCCCCAGCACTGACCATGGATTCTGTTTCTTTTTTTACATGTTCGCTATCTACACTTTTTTGCTCTTCTTTTATGGGGACTTCCTCCCTTTTTACTTCTATGACAAGAGCATTTTCTAATTGAATTTTAGGTACTTCTTCCATTTTTGTCTCTTGAAATGAATGTTCTTCTTTTTTGATACTGGAAACATCAATTTCAATTTTAATGGGTTCCATGGATTCTTGTTTTAAATTCTCAATTTCTCCTGGGGACACCAATTGATTAGAATCTTCTATAATCGCTGTTTCTTCTATTTCTTCTTCTTTGACTTCTATGTCTTGTAAAATGGAACTTGCTGTATCTTCGGAGGAATCTTTTGTATCTTCCTTTTTAAATTCATCTGTATAAATTTCTAACGTTTCTTCCGTCTGTTCTTCTTGAGGTTTCTCTGGCGATTCTTCGCTTACTTCTATAATAGTTTTTTCTTTTATTACAATTACAGGTTCCTCTTTAAACGATTCAATGGATTCTGTACTCTCAATTGTATTGTCTATGATGTGTTCCTCCGTTATTTTTTTTGTATCATCTAAACTATGTGTACTTTCGTCGTCTTCTAAGATTAAACTAATATCCTGTGACTTTTCGGTATCCTCTGTACTTGGAAGATCGTTCGTTATTTCAGAAGTAACGCTAACTACTTCTGCAGATGGAACATCTTGTTGTTCACCTGTAATTTTAGCAAGATGCATTTCTAGTTGATCTAATTCCATAGCATCTTTGTTTTCTAACTCTTCCGAAGATTCTCTTTGTAATTTATCACTTGGAGATTCTTTAGCTTCTGGTATAACTACTTCTGTTTCTTCTTCTTCCTCTATTAATTCATCTTCCGCTATTTCGTCGACAAGCTCTTTTGTAGATGTTTTTGTATCGCTTTCTTCAACTTCTGTATTTGAAGTAGAATCCATAGTATCAACAAATTCATCAATCGTTCGTTTCTCTTCTAGTGGTGCATCTTTACTGCTTTCACCATCTTGAGTCTCTAATTCAGGAACAAGTTCGTCGTCTAGTACCACTTTTTCATGGTTTGTACTTTCTTCAGATTTTGTTTCTTCAGGTGTATTTGTTACAGTTTCAGATATTTCTGTAACAATAACTTTTGGTTCCTGAGGTTCTATAGCAACTGTTCCTATGATTTCTGCAATATTTGATGTACTGGAGTCAATTTCTTCGATAGCCATCTCGCTTTGCGGCGAATTAGAAAGCGACACAACTTCGTCTACATCTCTGGGCTCTGGTCGTTCCGTGACGACGGGTATTTCTTGTATCTGGGGTACAGTAAGAGTATTAATCGTTGTAGCAGCTGTATCTAGCGTTTGCGGACTCCCAGTTATTTCTTCTTTTATTAATTCTTCTATATCTCCAATAATTTGGTTAATTTCGTCTTTATCTATTACATCTGCCATTATATCTTTACGTATTACATCGTCTATATTATCTATTATCTGTACCATACTTTCTGTGACTGGAATATTTGATGTATTAATTGCGAGCGATTGAGTAGGTACAGGTGTTTCATTTTGAATTGTTACTTGATGAACTGGCTGTGGTTGAAGATTATGAATTTCCGTAGGCACGTTTTGTTGCGAAACAATAGTCGCGGTTGACTGTAAATTAGGTAGAGGCCCTCTTTGTGCATTTGCAGGCATTTCTAATAACATAGATAGGGTTGGTGCTCCAACCGATGGTCGTTCTGATGGTATATTTGGTATTGTAGAAGAAACTAATTGATGTAATTGTGGCGATACATTTTGCGTTAATTGAGAATTTGGTACTTTAGGGCTAGAACCAAGGAGACTTGTAATTGTAGGGGAGCTCCCTTGTACTGTGGTAGTTGAAGTTTGAATTTGGGTTGTTGGACTTGGTGACTTTAATAAACTTGTTAATAATGGCGATCTTCCACCTCGAGTTTTCTTTTCATCTTCATCTACAGTTTCTGTTGTTTCTTGAATTTCCATTGTACTTTCTATAGATTTACGTTGATTTATAATTGAGACTCCTGGTGACGAATTCAATTCTTGCTTCTGTTGACGTTTTGCCAGCCATGCAGAGTGTGCTCTTATCTTTTGCTCTTGTTCCCTCTCTTCTTGATCTATCGCCAGCCACATCTTCTGTAATTTATCTTCTGTTATAGATCCAGATTTCAACAAATTTATTTCAGCCTTCAACTGTTGATACTCGTCCCTTTGATAAGCTAAAATTTGCCCTAATTCGGATATTCTTTCTTGTGTCAATCTCCTAACTATCGATTCACCTGTTGTCTCTCCACTTTCTCTTTTTTTTCTCTTTGGAGTATCCGCATTCTCTAATAAATTGGCGTATTGAATAGCGCATGATTTTTGAGAGAACCAATCTGGGGGCCTTAACGTTTCTTTTTCAGAAAATGCTTTCAAAGATCGAGACACGCTCATCCAATTTTGATCACCAGACTTCAGTACACTGGATGCTAAACATAGTTGTTCGCGTGTACTCCAATTATCATAAGATCGTTTTAATTTTAATCCTACGAATAAAAATTGTAAGAAATTAAATAGGGTAAATCAAGCAAATTTTTAAATGACTAATAATTTTTATATAATATTATAATACTAGGAATATTTTAAACCATCGATCCGATGTTTACATCGCATAGGTTAAGAAATGATGTTTACTAATTTTCCACGTGTTAATACGAGAGCAACCAGCGGCTTTATAGTATTCACAATTGAAAAGAAATACTAATAATGTAATATTTTGTTAACGAGTTGGTATTTTAATCATTTAACTACGTATTAATAGTTGATAATCATACGAAGACTCCGAAAATACAAAGTACAGTAAACAAATAACAAACTTACTGTCTTGTACCGATGCCATTTTTTCTAGCAAGAATTTGATCCTTTTTTTAATGTGTACATACACACGACTATCAGATTCAGCATGTAAACTAACTATAATTAGTTTATTCGTTTACAATTTTTTACATTTGATTCATCGTATACATTACACACAGGCGCCTTAGTTTTATTCAACTGAAACGTGGAATGCGTGGACAGCTGATTTCAACTAAAATCAAGGAATACAAGAAACGGAACCGTAATGGCGGATGCAAAGTAAGTTGTCAAAGTATGGTACATTATACTTTTGGTTTGATTCACCACCGATCGAATATAGTCTATCGAGGATCAAGTGAAATGTTGTCAAATATGCGTCCAGTATGTGAAATTGTTAATTTAACGATGCGATCGATGTAATCTATACTATATATATTCGTATATATAGTTGAAAGGGCAAGTGCTTGTATTAATTGTACATACCAACTACTATCTCATAAAAGTGTTTTTACCTTACAATGATGAATAACCGAAGACGAACAAATAACTTTACGTACGTTAGCTCGTGTGTAAAGTACATGATATTTATGCTCAATTTTGTTTTTTGGGTAAGTAAATTCCTTCAACTACCGATGTAATTCATCCGTATATTGTTGTTACAAATAATAATTTGCCATACGTATAATTGTATATAATATAACAAAATGTAATTATTAATGTTGTATGGTGCAGTTATTCGGAGGACTGCTAATTGGAGTGGGTTTATATGCATTCGTGGACAAATGGCAGGCAACTGGTTCTGTTCGAGTGGAAAATGTGTATGATGTAGTCCTAAATATTTCACTTGTAATGGTTATAGCAGGAGGAGTTGTTTTCGTTGTTAGTTTCGCAGGATGTGTTGGAGCATTGCGTGAAAATACTTGTCTTCTGAAATTTGTTAGTATTATTATGCATGTTTTCTAATGTACAAACAGATTGTATAATAGTTACTTATTGCAGTATTCGTTGTGCCTATTGGTATTCTTTCTCCTTGAAATGGGCGTAGCAATTGTTGGTTTTGTATTTCCACATACATTGCAATCTTTATTGGAAGAATCATTCACTGATAAGATTATACAAACCTATCGAGAAGATCCTGATCTACAAAATTTTATTGATTTTGGACAACAAGAAGTGAGTGGTCTTAAAGATAAAATTACAGTTTGATATACATTTTTATCTAGGTAACAAATAATACTTTATTTAAATAATAATATAAAATATGTTAATGTTTCCATGAATAGTTTCGGTGCTGTGGTTTAAGTCAAGAAGGATATTTAGACTGGGGGAAGAATGAATACTTTAATTGCTCCAGTCCTAGTGTGGAACGTTGCGGTGTACCATTCTCTTGTTGCATTAATGCTACAGACATATCTGTAAGTTTTTATTTTAATTGCACACAATATATTATTGATAAAATTAAAAACAATGGAAATGAAGCATTACATAAATTTTCAGAGTGGGTTAGTGAATATAATGTGTGGCTATAAAGTTCAGATGTTACCAGTATCCGAAGCTGGGAAGAAGGTATGGACTAGTGGTTGCATTGAAATAGTGAGAAGTTGGGCAGAACGTAATCTTTATACAATAGCGGGCATTGCTTTGGGCATAGCTCTTAGCCAATTATTTGTCATTTATCTTGCTAAGACGTTAGAAGGTCAAATTGAATTGCAAAAATCTCGTTGGCATTCCTGAGCTTGACTTCAGGCCACCTACCGCTATCAAATTCATTCCCCTCCCAGCAGGCAGGTGGCCAGTGGCCGAACACGAAGCCAGGACATTGAATCTCATGTAAATGTTCGAATGACATTACTTGTTCTTTTCGCGATCTCTGTATACATACTCTGCATTCTCTCTTTAATTAGACTTGTTCTTTATTTTAAAAATTATTTTCATATATATTTAAGCAAAGGTTAACTTTTACTAATTCTTACGTATTACTGTGTCTTTATAAACAATTTCTTGTTTTTTTTTTTCTTTTATTACTCTGACTTTACTGCCAAATTGTTGGGTGATATAGCCATATATATTTTTTTCCCTAAAAATTTTATATATCTTGCATAGTAACAAGTTAATTACTCTCATACCAGTTTACCCTACAATAGCGAAACTGAGTCTGAATATTATTCAATTTATACATTTAGTTATATACGAATCTTCTGTTGCAAAAACTACGTAAATCTACGGACAAAATTGTGGTTAACATAAGTTTAATTGAATATAAAATAATAAATGTACCAACAAGATAATTATTTCGGTAACAACGTGCAATAATTTTACGTGTATAGAAATATGATTTCTATTTCTGAAAAATATCCATGTATGGTATTGAATTTTATATGATAGTAATTTTTGCATCAGAACTTAAAGATATTACCCGCATAGTATATCTAATATATATTGTAAGTATTCGAAAGTTTTAAGCTTTTAAATAATTGACCTACAAAAGACTTGCAACAATATTATATAATTTATAAAGTAGATACAATCTATAAGAAATTCAAACTTTTTTATACAGTTTGTTTTTTCTCAATATATTTACATAACTATTTGCAGAAATATTTCTGTATGTAAGCGTATTTTATTATTGTTCAAAATAAGAATTATTTGCATTCTTGTAAGAAGTACCAATGACCTGACACAATGAAATACAAGAAATAAGTACATGGATAAAACACGCACATTGGTTGAACAATTTAACTCAAATACTCTTTGTTACGATTGGTATTTTTTAAATTTCTTCGATCTTATTATAAAAATATCAATAAGTATGTAGTTATTTACAAATTAATATTGTTGATTTTTTTTATTTTACTATATTAGCATAACTCAAGTGCATAAGTGAAAAAAACGTCCAGTGCCAAAGTCAGAATATTATCTTATAGTTTTTTTTTAACAAACCTGACAATAATCTGGTGTAAACAATTTGTTCATTGAGTGCATTTAGAGTACATCTGCGTGTCCTTTTATCAAGAATTAATGTAAAACTGACATATAAAACCATCTAGTTTGTAATAAACAAGTATTATTCTAACATTGCATTTTCGCCATTACCAGTAAACTATTATATACAAAAAAAAAAATAAAAAAATGTTTAATAAATCTACAAGTGGATACATATAAAAATGTAAAGAAAAAAAACAAAATTGACCTCGTTTACTGTAAATAGATTTATTTGTATAAAGAAGTATCTACAACCATAGTATTCGAACATTCTAAAATAACACTTTGTCCATCAACAATTTCAGAGTTTTCAAACAGCTTTGATAGCAGTGTATCCATTTCATTACATATCAGTGCACCAGTTGAATGATGAAATAATTGTAATTTGGGTGCACCAGCTGTATTGTTATTATTAGTTACTTTTAGTATGTCAGCCATCGAATCTATAGCTTTCCCAATTGTCCAGTTTGTGTTCACATAAATACCTTTCGACGGTCCTACATTCTTATTGGATATTTTAGTCGATGGATACACAAGAAAATAACAACGTTCGTTTACTGGAACATTTTTAGGTCCAACAGCTGAACCTTTTATGCGCATGAGCCGTACCTAAATAAACAATGGTTAAGATAAATGCATGATACGTATAATCTGGTATTTTAAATTATTTCGATAAAACAAAATACTTTATTCGCCATTGCAGTATTCTTGGATTTTTTCAACTTGTCTGAAATTTCTTGATCCACTATAGCTTTAGCTTCGGCAAATTGTTTTTTTGGTATTTGCCACTTTTTTAACTTTGTTGTCTTCTCTTCATTACTATATTCTAAACATCCGTGATATCTATGTTGTAAACAAAAGTGTCTTTTGCACTTTATACACGGCAGCTCTATAGGTGAAGTTTCTTTGCAAGATTCATCTGAACACGTATAACTCGAAGCCTTTGTTTTAGTATTCGTAACATTTTCACGATATCCAGAACATTTATGAGAAGCTATGTGAAAATGTTCCTTGCAGAAAATGTCATGACAATGATTGCATTCGAATGGCAAAAAATTCAATTGTTTGCAGTCTTCGACCGAACATCTTTCCCCTGTGTCTGGAAATTCCATTCTTAATCCTTAACGTAAATAAATATAAGTAAACAAATCGTTGAAACATTGGTTATGTAAAATTCCCAGCGCGATAAATTGGTACTTGCTTAATTATGAGATGGTGTCGGGGAATGCAAATGATTTTCACTGAGAGTCCCTAAAGCTAGATTATTCCACTTTTGTTCTAATTCCTTTAATGTCATGTGAGAATCACCATTGTCACTTTCGGGATCGGGTAATTCTGCTACTGGTACTACGATATCGTCAATGGGCAAACGTTCCTTGTGCCAAGCTTCATCGATCAGATCTAACAATCTACCGTCTCCGCACACTTGACTGTCCATTCCGTAAAAACACACCTAATTTAACAATGCATACGTATTTCTTAGATTCGAAGAAATAAAAAGAACGAAAAGAATCTTCTTGGCGTATTAGAGAAATAGATGCTAACTACAATCAGTGATTTTGCAGCGCTCTCTATGTTTATCTTGTTCAATCACCGCAGTCGGTAAAAGGAACGAATATAGAACAGGTGTAACATTAAATAATACAATATTCATTCATTTGATATATTACATTTATTCGATAATCTTATATAAAGTCATTACGCTACGTAATTTCTTAAGATTATTCAAAATTGTATTATGACTATATTTAATGCAGCTCTTATTAGTTAATTATACTTTAAGGCTCCTTATTGTTAGTCCTTTGGTTTACAATTTACATCGTCCTTTGAATTGTTTCTAAAAACAATTTGTAATATCCTGAGTTCTTTTAACGTTTTGGTTACACGTTACTTCTCTTATTAATTATTAATCGTCATTGTTTTCGCCGATCAGATGGTTTCTGTCGTGTTCTTCGCCCGTGCGTTTGCAAATGCCTCTATCACACGATAATCCGTGAGCACAAGGACAGAAAATGTAATGGACATCGGTTAATTCTACAGTTTCGAGATCAGGATACGATACAGTCATGTTGACTGGATTAGCGCTGCCTGGTCTGCACTCCTCTCCTTCTTCTTTCATGGGACTACATTGCGGTACGCTGTATCTTATAGGTCCTGAAATTACGCACTTCATGTTAATGTATTTTTTCATGAAATGACGAAATATTATCTAATTTTATCTAATTTCATGACTGTTACTATGTTAAACCGAAGTGTTATAGTGTCGTAAATATTACTGTTGCGTGACGCCTCGAAACATTTTGGCGACCGGTAGTGTGTTTCAGTTATATCTTTCGTCGATTGTAAATATTAATAATTGTGTCTATTTTGGTGTCAGGTAATTGAGCCGAAAGAAGTATAACAGAAAAAAAAAGTACCTATGCTGCAACAGTGACCCAGCTCGCACTCAGAATTGCTCACACAGTGTATATAGTCTGGTCTGCTTTCAGCGCAAGAGAGATAACTCGATACAAAGAGAAGAAACGAAGTGACGAAAATCGGCGCCATCATTGTTATTTTTGCACGCTGATTCCTGCGAACATACGAGTTTTTTACTTCTTTGTATCACCGCTTACCTTGAATATGTAACAACTCTATACATATATGAGTGTTTGCTGCGTCAAACGCATTTTTGGCCAAAATGCTTTACTCTTCTCCCTCGAATCTAACTATACATATGTATAGAATTACGTGTACCGTTTCAGAAACGAATCTCAGTAAACGTTTCAGCGATTTTACGTAGGTTGATCTTATATGGAGCGATCTTTTGTCCTGGAGCTTAGTCACGCGTTAATCCGCGAAGGAAAAAGTTGAACCATTAACTTTTCTTGTAGGTATTGGAATCGAAAGAATCTTATTCTGTTAATTCGTTCGCTTCGTTGGCGCGTTGCTACGCCACGCGAGATCTCGATTTCTTCACTGTCCTGTTTCGGTGTTTGTTGATTTTTTGTTACTGTTTCGATTACTCTGATCATCGCCTTTTCTCCCGTTCGTGATAAAATAGTTGGTAATTGAATTTACTTAATTACCTATATATCCTAGTAAATTATTAACAATGTATGCGAACAGCAGTAAGCAACAATTAATTATCCGCAGTGACGTTCGAAGGAACATTAAAACATCTGTATACATTGTTCAAAATAATTAAAGGACCACCTGGTCGAATGACTTCATCACAAGCTGCAACTGGCAATTATTGTTCGAGACATTCAATGGTATATTATATAATTAAAAAAACAAAGTATAATTAATTACTCCTTTGCAATAATTATTCCTCGGCAGCAGTTATCCTGCGAAAATATCGTTCCATCACTGTAGGATACGAATCTTCTGATGGGTAAAATTCTTATCTAAATACAAATAAAATAAAAATGTAACTATTCAATTGAACGAATGAGATTATTTTATTCGTTATCTACTATTTCTGGTGTGTAACTGTCTCGCGTATCACGAGTTCAAGAAGCAAACTGCCCCCTTTGCGACGCGTTTCGCACACCTGCATTGGTGGAACGACATTTTTGCATTTTTAAATTGTACGTAGGATTGCTGCACTATTATTAATCACAACCTATCGAGTATGATGTAATCTTAATATTTGGAAAATCGACAAATTGAAAAATTGAAGAGTGAGAAAAATATACATACACACGTTTAGGAGACTGTTAACGCTGTCTACACTCGACGAACACTTGTCGACATTTGATCGCGTGAACTGATGAGTCTGTTGTTTTTATATCGGTTCTTCCTCCACGTAACTCGTGTCTTTTCCTCCGAATAAACGGTTCACGTGTTTATCCTCGCAGAGGAGACTACCCTTTCTAATCGTACCCTTTTCGAGGTGTTAATGTTTTTACATTTGTTCGATAATCAGTTTTGTTACCAACAAATTATACAAGCATGATAAGTATTTATTTGTTTAGTTTGTAGATATTATATATAATACATAATGTATTTTCTGTGATTGAAGTAAGTCAGTGCCTATGAGAGGCACTTGGAGTGAAAAGGGTTCAGAGTAGTCTCAGAGTATTGTCAAGTATATTCGCTATGCTATATTCGTGTACAGAGCTTCTTAAGGAAGCGGAAGTGTACAATATTTTCTGTAGACTACCCCTTGATATCGATTCAATCCTCTGATATTGACTTTATGGCATTCAATGACGATTTGTAAGTTTTGAATCAATAAAAGAGTCAATCGTACGATTACTTCATTTTGCATACATACGTATGGACGTCAATGGAAGATTGTACGTTTATAATTACCGTATTACGTGATCGATCAGATGGAAATCCCGCGATGCAAGATCGCATCAGATCCTGAAAGCGTGCGCGTAGGATCTTTGATTGATAGTTTTAGTTGTTTCGCGTTGATACAACGATATCGATTACTGACGTTTACAATGAAAATGTGCAGTACGTTAAATTAATATGCGCACAGACAGCGGACAGAAAGCGAATAACATTTTCTCGAGTAGACGAATGGGTTGAACGTTAAGAGATCGATCGAGCTCGATTGCACATCATTAGGTTATTAAATGTTGCTTCATGTTCTCTTGATTATTTTTAGTTTCGTTACTAGTTTACGCGTTATCGTGAAGCCAGCATTTCTTGTGCAATAAATTCGCATTTGCTATCCATGTACCTGCGGGTGTCAATTGCACAAGATGGATTCGAAGCTGAGCGATCAATTTTAGCAGTATTATTTTAAACTCCTCTGTTATTCTAGATACGATAATAACAAGATAAAACGAAATTTGATTAATTTCGTGACTCTCGAGTCGCGATATACCTACATTTTTAAAACATTTATCATATATTGTTTAGAAACCATTTTTGTCAAAATAATTGTGTTGTAAACAGTTAACAAGAGTAGCGCCATCGGTGGAGAAACGCTCAAGTTTGTAGTGAAAATAGTTCCCACAGTTTCTCTAAGATGACGCCACCGATATCTTCTAAGCAATTATTCTTTATTTGTTCATAAATGCATAATTAATACGATTCCCTGCTTTATAACGCTGCAATATATTAGTTAATATATCAAAGTCATCATTTTCATATGTAGTTATTTAATCCCATAATAATTATCAACTTTTTAGTTAGTAGTGCCATCTAGCAAAAACAGTGGCAACTATTTTCACTACAAACTTTGCCGTTTTCCCACCGATGGCGACACTGGTATCAATACTCGGTCACAGAGCGGTAAATTTGAACAACATGCAAGTATAAAATGTGATTACAGAGGAGGCAAGAAACAAGGTGGTTGGAACTATCATCTTTATTTATCATCTCACATTTCAGTTCCTTTAATTATAGATATTATTACTTCATGTAAAGTGAATTTTCTGTCTTAAATATAAAATTTAATTAATAAATAACATATTTTACAAATTTCATTCACAAAAATCGCGACTAAGGCAAAACGTATAATCTATTAAGGCACTTCTAAGAGCACACAGAAGGAATGTACATATTCCATTATTTTGAATTAAAATCTAACTCCTGAATTCCATAGTGTATATCGTCTGTGGAAACGTTCAATAATATCTTTTGATATATGTCGTTTCTCGCATGCTCGCATATCAACAACCTACTAGCACTCAATCTTCCACAAACAGCGAGTATTTCTGTTACTGTAGGTACTTTTATGCCTGTAATGCAAAAAAGTAAACACAATCGTTAACCTCTTCGATGGTCTGGCCGTGTGGACCCAGGCTAAGTATTTAACAAAAGACGCACCGTCAAACGAGCATAACGCTTCGAGCTGTTTGTAAGCGTCGATAAAATATACATCCTCGATAGATGTTCGTATGACCTCGGCAGATATCGCTTGTAAAAATATTTGTTCCATTTTTGAACAATGTTTTATAGCCTGAACTTTTGCTGATGCAATCATTTCAGACACAGCTTCGGTTACATCTTGGAGAGATATTGTTTCAGCGTTTCGCGATTCCGCAATTTCTATAGCGCGACGACATATATCCAACGCTCGTCTAGCATCTCCAGATACAGCAGAAACTTTTCTATAATAAAAGTGATTTTCTATAATAATAGTAATTGCAATTCCAGTGAGAGATTCTATAGACGTATTATAATACCGCGCAACAAGTTGTATAGCTTCGCTTCTGAAACCATTGAAGTCTTTAAGTCTGGACATCACTATTTCTTGTAATTGTTTATAATTGTATGGCTGAAAAGTCAACCGAGTGAGGCCCAAGCGCGATGTAACACGACCCATTAGAACTCTTTCAGGTAAATCCATAGTATTGGCTATGGTAACAACAATTAATCGTGCTGTTGCCTTTGATGGCCAATCTAATAAATTATACACGACATCCTGGCGTTTTGTACATAAAAAGTCGAGCTGCAATAATAATTATCGTTATTAAACAATGTGAATCTGTTTTAATAGCGTTAATAGAATTGCTTAAAAAATAAAAAATGGAATTGTACTTCGTCTATGAGGAGCAACGTCATCCTAGAATTATTCCCGTTAAATCTTTTCTCGAGTATACGATATGCTTGCTCCCAAGTAACAAATTTACCATCTAGCTGCTTCAAAATTTGTACATAAGCTTGTCTTGGCTCTGTTAATTTCATACCATTAATTGCAATGTAATCGAAATCGTCTATCTGGTCTTTAATAATCAATTTTTGCAAGCATCTTACAGCTTCGTTTACAGTTGCAGTTTTGCCTGTTCCAGGTACTCCACTTATGTATATACACCTGTAAACAGTTTTAATTTATTAATCGTATCCTGTTATAAAACTCTTGTACAGGAAATTATTTTTCCAATGTACCCTCCACTTTTGTCCTCCAATTTTCCTTTGAGAAATGTGAAAATGTTATTAAATTCCTCTTCTCTACAAGGCAAAGACTTTGGTACGGCGCTAACGTGTAGTCTCGATCTAGCTTCTTGCAAAGGTGTAGATGGTTTTAACAAAGTGCTATTTCTTTTTCTCAACGACGGTGTTAAACTACTACATTTTATCGAACGAGATTTCGGAGTACTCAAATGAGTTTCTTGTAGCTGTACTTCTATACTCTTTTGCACATTATTTTTTTTCTGTGGTGTCAAAACTTTTTTCTTTGGAGATGATATTTTAATACACTTATACAAATCAGCCAAACATTCCTCTTCATTGAAGTTATTGATATTGTTAATAGAATTTAGAGATGCTGGTGTATTTTCAGCATTTATCCAAATTTCTTTGTTGCAGTTGCCTTTGCTTTTTTGGATCTTTTTAGAAACCACCCCCTTTTCTTTATCTCCTCTGACTGATGTACTTAAATTATGTTCATTTATTATCTCCTTTGTTTCTGAATATTGGTTCAACTTATCATCAATCTCATTCTCCAAGTGATTGGACTGTTTCAATGATTTTATTTTAATTTCTTCAATATCTGTACTACTATCACTCTTGCTATCTTGTATAGAATCTTGTGCATATCTTCGTTTAGTATTCCTTAGGTTTGACTTTAATGTGTTTGACTTTGAATTACGTCTAGAGACACTTCTAGAGACATTTATATCTTTATTTTCCTTTTGTTTGGCTTCTGCTCTGTCTGTATTTAAGCTAGACTTTATAGCATTAATTAGTAATGTATTCTCGTTATAATTTATGTTCTTCCTATTCCTCAAAGATGGAGAATTCACAGGAGGATTCTCCAAACTACAAATGGAATCTAACGAACCACAATGATATGAAGAAAATTTTAATGGACGTTTCCTAATTCTAGTCCTAGGCAATACCTCATTCCCATTTTGCATTGTTACTAATTCAGTCTTGTCTGGACTATCTGTTGTTATAGAACTGTCTTTACTATTGGTAAAAGACTCATCACTTTCTACTTCTAGATGGTTTTTCTTCTTTTGTTTTAAAGGCTTACTTTGCAATTTATTTCTGGATTTTCTGCAGTCTGAGTCTAAATAACTTTTATATAAACTCTGTTCTGTAGATCTTCGCAATTTAATTCTAAGTGAAACACTTTCCTTCTGTGTAATGCTATTCTTTCGAACAACCTTTTTAACATTGTTGAATATGACTTCTGCATCTGAACTATCTTCTTTTGAATCATTTAATTTCGAATTTCTTCTCTTTTGTAACTTACTTGGTCCATTATTAATTTCTTTGCATGTATCAGAATCCGATTCAGCATCAAGAATTGCAGCTATTTGACAATCGGAGTATCTCTTCAATTTCGAAGCCATTTGCACTTTTTTTATTGTAATAATTTTATCGTTTAAATTGAAGCTCAAGCTTATACCTTACAGACTCCGATTTTATAATATAACGATACGTCAATATATTGTTATGTTATACATTTTTAAATATTTACTAGTCGTTATCGTACATTGTTCTAACATATATACGTCATATTGTAAAAGAAAAGGAATGTTCTATGATACACTTTTCAACTCGTATCAACTGGTATACATCATGGTATAATGATGGTATAACAAGCTTGATGCTGGTTGATGATTAGCTACGAGACGAAATTTGGCGGTTAGACTCAACATCCCTTCTCCTAGACAAGTTGAGATAAGTTTTTCGTGCTACTTTTGCTGCTAGATGGCGCTCCTAACTAAAGGATCGGCACTTATTGCTGCGTTAAATAACTATTAACATAAATGTTTAAATAATACATTGAAATAATATATTGTAGTGTTAGAAAGCAAAGAATCGTATTAAATATGCATTTACAAAAAATAGAGATAAATTTATTAAATGTATTGGTGGCGTCATCTTACAGGAAAGGTTTAAACTATTTTTACTACAAGCTTGGGAGTTTTCCCATCGATGGCGCCACTAACTAAAAGGTCGATAATTAGTGTTGAATTAAATAACTATTTATGAAAATGATACGTTAGACGTACCAACTAATATCTTGTACTATTATGAAGCAAGGAATCGTATTAATTATGTATTTATACAAAAAATAACGAATAATTGTTTAAAAGATATCGGTGGCGCCATCTTAGAGAAATTGTGGGAACTATTTTGACTAAAAACTTGGGCATGTCTCCACTGATGACGCCACCAGTGATTTGCTCTTATCTACTTTGCTAAGAAACTAACCTTTACGATGTTCGCGCGTGCGTATCATAGAACCATGCTTCGATACACCAATTTTTCAACAGTAGCACTGTCCAGCACTAATAAGCGGTATTGAATGTGCATCAGAGTAGGATAGTGGGATAAATTAATTTTATTGACAATATTAGTACGTGTTACGAGTGCATCCGAACAATTGTTCTTAGGATTTTTTAAATTATGGCTGGCATTGTACCATTATCTGGCCGATCTGGTAGAAAACAATGGACACTACATGGTAACATGAATCAATGTCACTTTCAGCTTTTTCAAAACAAACTTGTAGTTCTCATTAATTACCACGATCTAACGAAATCTATCGTACACCGATTCTGTCAAAATAATAATAATTGACAGACAATAACGAATAATTTGATCAATTTTAAAGAGAGTGTAACAAACCACGCAAAGTATAACGTCAGTTTACTGTTATTTATCGTAAAAATACGTATTTTAGATGGACCAGGAGGATCTCTCAGAAGACTACGATCTCAACTGGCCGAGGACGGTTGCCCAGAATCTCAAGTAGTGTTAGCTAAGCAACTTCTGGATGAAAGATGTGGTATAATAAAAACTTTTAGTTGTTCTCAGGCATCTGTTTGATTTTTTGATTTGATGTTGATGCATCAACATTCTGACATACCTTGTCATACAGTGTATATTATATATAATTCTTTCATTTAGATCTCGACGTGGATAAGGAAGAAAATGCAAAATTAGGTGTATATTGGCTTACAAAAGCTTCGGAGCAGGGTAACTTGGAAGCAACAGATATTCTTAAGAAATGCTTGGCAACTGGTCGTGGTATTACAGAACACAATTATTACGATGTAAAAAGTTGTCTAGACATGTCTCAAGATGAAAAGTTGGCCAGAAAAGCAGCAAGAGAAATGTTTACTAGGTACAAGCAATTAAATTATATAAACAAAAAAAGATTGTATTTCTATGAGTATATCTATAATTTTTTTGATATTACACAGTCTCTCTAATGGCGAAGATTTTATTACAACGGAGCAGCTACAAAGACGTATGAAAAATTTAACATCACATTCGTCTAACAATGCGAGTTGTTCTCACTCGAATAACGTCTTGCGTAACAATCCACACAAAAACATAAACGATATTTCAACCAACAACTTTCCAAAAAACGGGCTTCCCGAAGACTCGACATCCAAGAAAGACGAAGAAAAAGAAAACAATGGCCATGGTGGGTAAACATTTAACTTTTACAATATTTTGTATCGTTATATCGTATTTACTTATCATCTTTCACATATTTAATTTATAGATTGGGTGCAGTACCAGGGAGAAAAAATTTCAGAAGCAGCCTTGGTTTCTGCCGCTGCCAGTTACGCTCGCGGGATGCTTCCAATAGTTTCGCACGCTTTATGTATGGTAGATTCGTCTCAAATGGCATTGGACACTGTACCATTGTTGCAGAGGCCTCTCATTCACCCGTTCGCATCTTTGAAACGTCTTTACATTTGGTTGATAGAAACGTTAGGTCAGAGGGGAATGTCAATTAAAAAAGTTCTTTTCACATCGAATATACATATATTATTATTACTTCTACTGTATTCGTTATTCGGTACAGAAAACGTCATACTTTTCGTACCTATGGCTCTATACTATTTGTCTTTCGTCATGATGGTTATCTCTACTTTTCAAATGTTACAACGAAAGCGCGAGTTCAATAATTTCCGCGTCTGGTCGGGATTGTTTCTCAGTTATTCGGGTGGTAATTTAAATCCCGAAGAAGCAGAGTACCAATATTGTTGCAATAATCTTAAACCTTATGGTCACTTCTTTCTCGCCTTGCTTTTAAATCTAATAACCTATCCGATCATAGCTCATCAATGGACACCTCAATCAGAGTTTACCATTATAGCGGTCGCTTTAATGCTAGTGACACTCTTGAATTTTATGTGGAAAGATTCGTCCAGATTTCCAGACTTGTTAGCTCTCTTTAGTTTTGGCGTGCACGTCCTCGCCAAATACCCGTACGAAACGGATATCGTGGTCGCCCAAGGATGGAGATTTTTAGACATAAGAGTACCAACGTTTGCTTCGTATGTTGTTGGCAACGGGATTGAATTTTGTTTGAATTTTCGTGCGGTTTTTTATCTTTTAATTCCAGCTGTTTTCGCGAAAATGGCTGCTCAAGATAATTGGCGAGGAACTTACCAAACCCTAATACCTCATTGCGTTACTCTGAGTTGGTGGCAAATAGCGATCTTCAGTTCGCAAGGTGCTACTTGGTATGGTTTGATTAGGGGTGCTCTCGCGTTAGTTGGTATGGTTCTCTTTCTGCCACTCGCAGGATTGGCATCTATTATTTTGCCAATCGTGGCTGCTGCTAAATATTTATCGGAAAGCGATCTCGCAATGAGAATAGTTGTAACAGCTTTACTTGGAGGAACACCGTTTCTCGCCTCCTGGTATTTAAGAAGAACTAGAACTCCAAGATTCAATTGGATTATCACTGTTATCCAAGTAAGTGCATTATGGCCAAACTGAATTTAGAATATCTTAACTATATAAAAATGTTCCTTGTATACTTTATGTTTAAATCTCTTACTGTAAGCCAAATTAACAGCTCTAAAAGCAAAATTATTATTTTTATGGCAGCTGTTTATGGGTATCGGTGCTGGTATGTTTTTGTCCTGGCCAATGATCATGGAATACAAACAACAATCCAACTCTTATGAAGTTATATCTACGCTCTCGTGGGAACAATATCAAAATCATTGCCACCAACCAGCGTGGGAAGAATTATCGTCCAAGGCGCAAGTTCAGGTTCAGTGCGCCGATTTGGAAGGAATATTGGTTTCATGGGAAGGTTACGTGACGAATATTAAACTAAGATCAATAAAGAACAACGTCGCGGCGATATTTGATAAACTACCCGACAGTATTAGAAATATCATTAGTTGTATGTACGGTGAACCGTATTTGAATAATTGCGATGGAGTGGACCAATCGCGACAGAAGAATTGCAAGCATTTCGCGAATATTCAGAAACGGAAGAACAGATGCCATTTTCCCGCTTGGAACCACTATGAATTTGAAATTTCAGTTAAAATGAAAAGCGGCATGTGGGGAAATAACGCGGAAGTTTTGCTCGTAACGGATCACTCTTTCACTAATTTTAGTTTGAACATGTATCCAGGAGATAAAATTTGGTTTACAGGGACGCTTTTGAATAATGGTTTAGAGGAGGAGTCTTTACTCGGTGGTTCCGAACCACAGATTGAATTAGAAGAGATCGGTTGCATCGCTTGTCATTCTATTCAATTAAAATCTTTCAGACGATATAAATATCACGTATCGTTAAGTTCGATTTTAAGCGATCTTTGTTTAGGTATAAAGACTGTTTTGAACTTTTTGTTGAATCCTATCGTGATGTTCAAGTAATCACGTCTTCATCAAGCAATCTATAAGATTGCGATGAATCGTAACGCTCCTTAAAATGTTGAGATAAAGTTGTTTTCATCGAGACAAATTTCGATGATATCTCGAATTTTATTTCGACCTACTTGAAACTATTCGGAGTATATCTGTCGCAAGATATCGTGTAATAGACTTTATAATAAAAGAGGGGAATACAAATAGATATAGAGAAAACTAACGAGTATGATACATTAAAGAAAAAAATCAAGTTACAAAAATGGTATTATAATTTTTTTTTTTATAGTGTATTTATTAGTCGATTCATTTTGATTAAATTAGAATTTATTCTTGTTCGTATACTGAAGTAGATACTTCTAAAGAAATACTTTTTTAATTAATGTACACGTGAACATAAGTCTATATAGAAAAATACAAGCATATTTTGATGTTACCAACGCCTCAGGCATTAGAATTTCAGCAAAAACTCATGAAATATCTATGTCAAAGAGTACACTTATATATATATATGTATATTTTAAGATCGACATATTTTCATAAGTATTACTGCCAGCGATAGAGACAAATGCGCTTAATATTTTTCTATTCCGTTTTTGGAAAATCAAAGGGGATGGTACCTCTTTAACCTTATTTTAACACAACAGTAAAATATTACACGTTTTTCGTAATGTTAAATTTTAACGAAAAATATCATTTGCATCTAAACAACAAAGTTGATTCACGTTTAAAAATAATCTATCTACAACGAATGTGATGCGAGTACCTACATCATCGATGTTTACTTTCTTTAGACCTTAACGTTGCATCTTTGAAACATTCGAATATTTCGAATAGATTTATGAAACTCAACGGTGTTACGAAACTGTAATTTAGCCGTTGAAATATCTTTACTCTTGTAAATGTCATGAATGTTACATGTAATTGAAGTAGTAAAGATATATGTACACGTATAATGTGTAGGAGTTAAAGGTTATTGTTAAATCGATGTTAAGTGTCTAGACTTTGAAAAGAAATAATTAAAAAAAGTCCTATAACTGTCTAGAATGATGGAGTCAGTTATACCGTATGTCATATCAGGACAATAGTAAAAGAAGTATAGCTGAGATAAAAGACAAATATAGATGTGCCTTGATGTTTTTTGTTTGAATAAATAATTTTATTATTTATAATAAAATATATGTTAAAAAGTAAAATTACTGTTACACTAAATATTTAGCTAAAAATATTATCTTATGAATTTATAGGTGATTTAATTTTTCTACTTTTTTTTACTAAGAAAAAAAATGTTTCTTGGAAAAAAATTAATTTCCTCGACACAATTTAAAACATATTTATTTTATATTTGGCAACAAATGACGTACATTATTTCTGCAAGTGATATTATTATTATTTTTTTTTTTTTACAAGACAATTGTTTACTCGGAGATTTTGGTTTCCTTTATCTTAGTTTTTGTATATAAAAAAAATTACATAGTACGAAATCACTCTACAACTATTCCATGTTGATGATGTTTTGTTTGTTTATGTACAAATATAAAATCTACATCAATAAAGTCTTTTCGACCATATTGAATTCGTGTGTATAAAGATACGTAAAAGTGAGACAAAATGTTCTCATAGAAATCGATTATCGTTTCTATAGAGTTTGTTTTTTTTTCTCAAATCGGATATCCCATCCACGTGTGATGTTTCATTGAAGTATCGTAAGTTCCAGACTTACTGTGAATAACTTATCCTTTTACATTTAGTTCTTAGAATTAATTCGTCGCGGTCACCATCGCATTTCTCAACTTATACTGACTCGTAGAAAAGTGTTGATGCGTTGATCTATGATAAATCAGTTCCCGATTATGCGGTTTGCCTATTGCAAAAATATGGACACTTGATGTACTAGAACGATGTTTATCGCTTACGCGAATAGTTCAGCAATATACATTTACTGAAATTAAGTACTAACGTTTTATTGCAGCAACTCAAGACCATGAAGACTTTGGTAAATAAACTCTGTACTATGCACGATAAACATTATTAGGACCAGAGTAGTAATAGTATAATTCGATACGTCTTGTAACTGCTGCAATAATTTATACGTTAACGTAACTGTTCAATTATTCATATATGTATATAATTTTTTGTCAAAGTGGTTTTCAAAAAAAAAAAAAAAAAACTGTTGGTACATTAACTATTATTTTCTAAACTAATATATCCAAGGAAACAGTCTTATGAACACTTTATGATTACATCTTATTTCATGGAAATAATCCGATATAAACGAGAAATTCGAAAGTAAAATAGTTCGTAACATACCGCGACTTAGTAAAAACGTTTCCTACTGTTCTCCTGATGCTTTTGATACCACATAATTGCTATTACAACGCAGGCTATAATTGCGAGTGCGCCCACGAGCATTAGGAAGAAGAACATTATTCTGCTTAATGCCGATTGCTTTGGATCGTCTATATGTTCTGCAACAAAAAAAAAAAAAAAAAAAAAAATCATCGTTTTCATATCGAGGAAAACGATTTTAAAAATAATCGACAGTTAGTATATGTTAGTTTACCTCGTGGAGCTTCGTAAAATGCAGCCGAGGGTAAAATATTGGACCTATCTTCCTGATCTCTTGGCTAAATTCGAATACAATGCATTATAGACAGTTATAGTTTCGCGCTAAAACGATTTTAGAGTATTCAACTTACATCATCTGGTAAATCTAATTCGAACAAACGGATCGACAATATATCGTGATTGTCTGATAAATCTCCCGTCGTTGCAGATATTCCGAAGTAATAGCCTGTAGGAAGTTTTATATCTTTTACAGAGAAACACTCCTTCCAGGCAGCTTTATTCGCAAAATCTGTGGAAACTATATAAAAAAAAACATTTATTAGAAAATCCTTATGCGAAAACGTCAATACTTTTTAATGTGTACTCTATATTTACTACATTGTCCTACTCTATACATATCGAAAATAAAACATGAAAGTAATCGTACAGTAACGTAACCAAATATATCGTCCACAATGAAACATTCTCTTACATATGTATATGTATTTATTTCATGCGAGTTTATGATGCTAATTTCAATACGAATATTAATCCACAAACCTCCGTCAGCGGTCAACCATTTTATTTTTGTAATTTCGAATCAAACCTTATCAGCCGAAAACGGTGTAGCAGATATCAAATGTACCTATCTCTCCAATACTTTCTTTTTTAATACTGATAATCTTTTTAACTATATTTCGTTTAAATTTAGATAAACTATATTGTACCACTCGAAACTGGAAGTAGTGATGCAATCGAGAAGCAATATATAATGTTACACAAAAAATGAAGAACAAAAAGTTGATGAATAATGAATGATAAGATGAAAATACCACTTGTCGAAGTAGAGGTACTCCATGATGTAAGTTATGAGGCCTCAGGGTAAGACCTTACTGTAATGTGAATTTGTACAACACCACATATAGAATGAATGAATACATTGAAAATAATCTCAAGCATCTTTCGTCTACTTCAGGATCAGAGACATTACATACACAATTATTAGGTATACATTTAGCGCGTCTTTTAACGTCTTATGGTCGTTATAACGAACCATTCTCATGCTCTCAAACTTATGTTCTGCATTTATCTACACTTACCAGTTAGAGTATCTCTTTCGTATCGTATAGAAATATGTGTATCATGATCTAAGTTTCTAAATTTTGCTTCACAGCCTGAAAGTTGCGTATGGGTTCCATCGCGATCGTGATCATAATGTAAAGAACCATTATTAACCATGGCAGAGATGTAAGGATGTTGATGCTGGAAAATTGAAACTTATTTCAACTTTGTCAATTTATTCTGCAGTATAACTGCAATTTTTGTTGTCGTATTGTATACGAATTATTTAGAATTATATATACATTATGTGGACCATTATGGTTGCTATACGTATCTAGGATTATAGCTAATCCTTGGAAATAATCTTGATTTCCAAATACAGGACCCGTTAGCATTCTTTCCTTTGCATACCAGATAACAAAACCATCGCCAAACAAGTCTCTTCCTTTTCCATGAACTTTGAAGTGGACTTGCATGTCCCAATTTCTTACATGACATGGCTAAATTAACAGATGAAAGAAAAAGGTCTCTGATAAATCTTTAATCTATCCATTATTAATAAGTATAAGACAGTTTATATGTATTCTTAAAAAAGCTTTAAACTTACAACTGAGTTCCAAATGGCACCTTGTTTACTTTGTAGATCTGGTGTTAATCTTATGTAGTTATTTGTTACGATTGTACTACCAGAGAAATCCCAGTAAGGAACTGTCATTCCAGATCCTAAACAGAAAAGAATATGTTATTTTGTATAACATTGACATAAAATTATATATACATTACTTCAAAAACTCTATAAGATACTCTATAAGAAATAAAGAAAAATTCGAATCTTTCACGAGAGTAACCTTAAACTCGTGTTATTGTAACATATCACTGTAATAAGATCGTACGACATTACGTATACTTATCTAATTTGAATCACAAAGGATTTTACACGTCACAACGTTTTACACTATACAACGTAAGTTCCGCACAACGATCCAAAATTTACGAACCTTGATACGGCCTAATCAATGAATGTTCTCGTTTCATATAGTCTTTCGTGTTCCATTCTGCGATTACAAACTTCGAAACACTTGCAATCAATACGAGGAAGAACAACGCGTTCATTTTATGTATTTTATACAAACGCTATGATAAAACTTCTAATACTAAATTTTGCGTTGAACCTGCAGACCATTACAACGCGTAATCGGTGTAATGCACTGAACTGCACTGAACTAATACCTGAATCATAGCGTTGTGTTATCCTTGACACTGAAATTGTCTAGTTATCGATACGAGCAATCTAGCCAGTAGCAGAAATTAAAATGTTCCTTCGAGATGCATGTTAGGAATTTATACTATCGCGAGCAGGACTGATTTTTAAATGTACATTTGAGTCATTTGAGTTTCGCCTCTATAAAAGTATTCTATGATTATAATATACCAAATGGAATGTAGCTTGGGTGCCGCTCTACCGCTATTTCCAGCTATTTCACCACTATTTCACGTTATTTAAAGTATCGTGGCGTAGTGTAGAGTAAAAATTACGAATTTATAACCAAAAATTGAATTATTGCTGTCTGAAGTCCCTCTTTCTATTTTCTGGTAAGTTTTTGTGTACTCTTTACTATAAAATTAATTGTTTTCATCACTCAGGATTGATGCCGACGGGAAGATTGCTTGGTTAATCTTTTCTTTAAATGTTTTTTTAACTCATATATTATTGTTAAATATACGTAATTAATGTGTATATCATTCAATTTATCGATTTTTAAACGATTCAAGCAACTCACGTTAATATAAAATTTTTAATATTTTCGAATTATTTATAAATTGTAATAAATATTTCTGAAATACTTTTGAATGTTTATTTCCACTTATAGACTGAATATGGTGCGAGGTGGTCGAGGTGGAATGCTCAGGGGAGGTCGAGGCGGCATGGGACGTGGAATGGGATTTCCTCGGAAACAATTTCTTCCACGTCTTCCATTCGATTATACGTTATGCGAAGCTGCATTTCCGCGAGTTAAACCAGCCCCTGATGAATCAGACTTCCAAATGGCACTTTTGAAAAAGAACACAGATATGTGTCCTACCCCAAAGGAGCAAACTTCCATTTTAAATTTGGTGACTAAGCTGCAGAGTGTACTTGATAATTTAATTGTTACTCCAGGAAGTTTTGAAGCTTGTGTAGGTATTACTTTCTTAATTATACATATTACTTGTTTTCCTTTTGTTGTATAATGATTTACTTTTCCAGCAATTAGAGGAAGTAAGACAAGTTGGTAGCTTCAAAAAGGGAACAATGATCAAGGGTCATAATGTGGCCGATATCGTTGTAATTCTCAAGACATTGCCTACAAAAACGGCGGTGGAAGCGCTCGGAACGAAAGTCAACAACGACTTGAAGACTGTGAATCCAAAAGAAGTTTTCAGGCTTACTCAAACAGAACGAGGTTTCGATATCGGTAATAACGAAGCTACAGTACGAGTATTGATCACTACGTTGCATCAAAATTTGCGGAAATTGGAGTCTGATCAACATTTAGATGTAAAGATTTGTCAAGGTCACCTTGCCGCGATTAGACATTCCCGATGGTTTGAAGAAAATGCTCATCATTCCAGTATAAAGGTTTTAATAAGATTACTCAGAGATCTGAGAAGCAGATTCGAGGGTTTAGAACCGCTATCTCCTTGGATGTTAGATTTGCTGGCACACAATGCTATAATGAACAATCCTAGTAGACAAGCATTACCCATAAACCAAGCATATAAGAGAGTGCTCCAGTTACTTGCTTCTGGACTGTTCCTACCAGGATCTGCTGGTGAGATTTATTATATTTCCGTTAAACACGTGTATAGTAGTATATAGAAGAATTATTTGATATAAACATTATGATTTCGTTTAGGTATTTCTGATCCATGCGAGGGTGGTAATATACGTGTGCATACAGCTATGACGCTGGAGCAACAAGACTTGGTATGCCTTACAGCTCAAACATTGCTACGCGTCTTAGCTCACGGAGGATATAGACCATTACTCGAAGGTACCAATAAACTTGCCGTGGAAATGAGCGTATGGGCAGGTGGTGTGGTAGCTAGTCCCTTGGATAAAGCTTACGAGCCTCCCACCGAACAAGAACAACAAGAAGATATGGACGAGAGTAACGAAGAGATGATAACAGAAAGCGCATAACTTATTAATACATCATTTTAATAATTATTTCAATTTTCTTACTATAAAAGAGAAGAATTCCCCACTGTTTTCTATGACGATAATTTATTCGTACTCTTCTTTTTTTATTCGATATAAAAATTAATGTATTCAGTATTGCATATGAATTTATTGATGCATGGTTCTTTTCTTAACCATAACGTAATTAGCGCCGACGCATTTAGTTAACGTAATTGAATGTGGTACTGTACGTGAATTTCACAGGATTGCGAGTCGCGGTTCAAATGGACTTTATATCTGAAATAAAAACTAAATTATGTCTACATAAATACTTGTAGAAAACATGCTTCCAGTCCCTGCTTCGCAGAATTTATATTTCTCGATGCTTTGCAAGTATATAATAATTTATACAATAGTAAACCGAATATATTCGGTGTTAGGCAAATTTTTATCCTGCATTGCAGATTAGTCTGCGGATCTATTGGCAGTGCTGGGTTAAATGATACAGTCGCAACATTCTTGCGATTCTATCGCGAGCAGGGATCGTTTTCTGGAGTTCTGTTAACGCGAGCACAGTTCACCGATCGACTGTTCGCGCCCGCACGATCCGGTACTCTGAACAGTTTCCCCTGTGGCATGCAGATGCAAACTTTGTACTGCTCGTGATTAGCTGGATTTTGCAGGAACATCGGTGCCACGGGTATATTCTCAACGTCTATAGTAACTCCGTCTTTGGCATCGAGAACGATGTTTCCATTGACGCTCTTTAAAAATATATCGGCGTCCGCGCTCCAAATGATATCTTTGCTTTCCATGGTCACGCCTTCTGCGCCGTGTATGGAGATCTGATCGTCAGAGTTCACGGTTAAATTCTCGTTAACAGGCGATGTGATCCTGTGAGTCTCCGCTATTTTAACATCTATCTTTTCTACACCAGCTGGTAAACCAAAATTCGGGAAATCGGTGGTGAAGTATGTGACGCCAGTTCTCGGATCTTTGATCTCGAAGGATTCTACCAGAGACATAGTGGTGCCATTTGGTAGAATTGTCACTTTTGCGCGCTTTTCCTCCTGCGATCGACGACTGTTCACGTCTATTTGCACACCTGCCTCGTCGCCAGAAATTTCCATCGGTTCGTCGCCGTAACTCTGACAAACTCCTGATTGCAAGCATACCTGTGAAACAACCCGAAAAGATTAAAATGAAACACCTCGAAGGAGAGTGCTTTCCTTGTACGTGCACAGTAGACGTAAGACATACAGTGAACTTTATCGAATGTACCAATTAGTCTTCAAACTTCGTAATTGAATCGTTATGTCCCTGAATTCTCACAAATTAGAACATGTTTAATCAAGAGATCAAGGAAGTTTACTGCAAGTTTACTATGTCTTTCACGCCATACACGAATATCTGACCCTGTCCAAGTCGGTTTTTCCATAAAACTTCACGAGATTCTCATCAGGTATCACTTCCATGGCTTCCATTCCCTGACTGATCCGTAACACAGCGATCAGCGTGATGTTGAGAAAAAGATTGCATAGGCTGGTCATCGTTAAAATAAACGTTACGGCCCACAGACAGTAGCGGTGTTTCGTTGACAATTCATTGGATGTTGACATCGTGCGAGGCGAGATGATCGATATTCGGTTAACGTTTTCGGAACTGAAATGAAATCTCAGAGTTGGGCAAAACTCCCGCGTTTTTAAGGTCAGTAAAAAATCTAGTACGATCGTAAAATTGGCGCTCTTGGTTACTTCAAAAAATGAGAGAAGTATAAAAGAATTTGCAATGTAAGAAGTTAAGAGCCGAGTTCAGTTGTAAAAAAATACAACTGTGATATGAAAAAAATACACATGTGCATGACTGGTAAATTGTAATAAGCAAGACTGGACCAATAAGTACAATAATCAATGTAAAACAGATTACGTATGCTTATAAAATAAAGAGAGAAACAAACAAAGATCACGCATCGTTTTTTATAGCTACAATACTGCGTGCTCAGCTTTCTCCAACGCGCATGCACGAGTGGGAGCCATCTTTGATGTCACTGCTTCAAACCAAAGAGCTTCGCTACCAATTAATCTACACTGTGCTGTAAATATGCGATGATTGTTCGTTATTTTACCTTGTACGAACGCTGTTGCAACTATATCGACGAACACAGCTTTTGATTAGTGGGCCATCGCTGTTCGACAAGTTATCTTCCGCTTTCGATATCGAGGGAGAACCGGCGTCATTTCCACACGTGTCGAGGATGGCCGACATTGAATCACCGTGCGACGCACGTACAATCAAGTGTTCCTGTCATTAATGTCCAGTATCTTTCTTGTAAATGAGTGATGCAAGTAAATAACAGAAAATTCACATAGATGTAAGTGTCGGTTGCATAAACGAATATAAGATTGAATGCTAGGTTAGGAAATTATTCATTTAAAACGGGAATAGGACTGTTTATATATTTCCTGTGTATGAAAATATAAGTAGTACGATTGTACAGACTAGATTGTCAAGTTATTTGTTTAACAGAACGAAAATCACTGTTTTTTATGAGAAAAATTTACAACGTATCTCGACCATCTTCGATCTCTATTTGTTAAAATGTCTCCGTAAAAAGTGAAACCACGAATAAGTAAATATTGGTTTTCCTTACCGGAAATGAGGATTGCTAGCGTCGATGAACTTTTAAATACGATAAATTTCCGATCGTGTTAACGTGAATTCGTTCTCGACGCGTACACCTGATTGTTTATTTAAATGCACTTGCAATTAAAGTGATGCGTGTAAAGTTTTATCACGGGCACAAGGGCAATTCTTTCCTGAAAATTGCTCCTCGATGTTCTGAACGAAAACGAAAATAGACGTCCGTGGTTAGAGCTCGGTTTCGAACGAAAACACTAAGGCGAGTAACGAAAACAGGTGAAATCCGTCGGTCGGCGCTTGCGCGCCCAGAGATCAATGCTGAATATTGCCAGAAATCTTTAATTCTAACGTATCCGAAATTTTACATTTTCTCTTCTATAGATATACATTTTTCTTATCAACCTTTCTCGTAAATCTTATAGGTAATTTATATAACGGTCTCATCTCGAATCATCTCTTTTCGAAATAACATTACATGGGAAATAAAAGATCGAAGTCGGACGTTGTGTTTTTATTAATAAATTATACCGTAGCGATGGAATGATGTATGGATGAACGTAAAATATTTATTTAACGTTTACCGAGAGTATCATGAGTTTGGCCAAACGGTACTCTCTATCCATGGAATGTAATTATAAACGCGAGTATATACTCCTGGAGAGCTGCTACCACAAAGCCTCCCTAAACTTGTAACACCAATTACGCTGTACATACAGTCGTAATCGCTGTTTCGAATGGTTAGAGGTCCACCACTGTCACCCTGCGTATACGAAAATAAACATTTATAAAATATTGCAGTTTCTAAAATATTCTTTGGAATATTCCCATATCCCAAGGCACCTTCCAAAAATGTTTCAGTAATATAATGTGCCATATAGACAGTTATAAATAACCAATGTAAATCGGTGCATGCAACCATACGTAATTTAGTGCGATGGACTCGCCACTAGAGGCGCCCGAACTATAGGCCAGCGCTATAATAAAAATGCCAAGTGGGAATCCCGATTGGTAGCTTGTTACCTGGCAAGTGTCTTTTCCGAGATCACCAGCGCAAATTTGCCACTCGTCCACGATACCACGTTGTAGCACAGGATCTGAACCAAAGCTTCGGTTACAAACAGATTGAGACACCAAGCTGATCGTGACTTTCAACAAATCGCTCGAGCCTTCGTCCTCGTCTAAAAAAATTCGATGTACGAATGCTTGTTGTGCTTCTTGTACGATTACTAATTTTAATTGTAACACGTACTCCAGTCGACCCGTCCCCACCCGGTCGCGGTTGCTTTGTCGTTATTATCGGTATCTGGTAAAGAATAAGGTAAGCAACTGGGCCTTATCCATGCGTCGAATACTACGTCTTTTTCCATTTCGAGGAGCCCGATATCGTGATACTGAGAAGGACGTTTGTACTTTGGATGCCTTATCCTCGTGATAATTTTGATATCCTGTGGTTTCGCGTCATCGTCCATTCTTTGAAGGTTTAGGTCACCTAATCGCACCCAACTCGCGGCGGCTTGCCTACAGAGGATCAAAGGCGCGAGAATTTATTGCGACGTAGATATCGATGTCAATGTTATAATTACTGTCGCATAGATTTACCAGTTCATATTGTAAAGACAATGCGCCGCGGTCAAGACGAATCTCTCTGAAATCAGAGTGCCGCCACAGGACCACTCGATGTTACCGTTACCAGTATCGTATCCGACAGCAGCCATATGCGGAAATTCTTTAGGGTCGGCCTTTTTACCACCGACGATAAGCTTCTGAGTTTTAAGCACGCACAGGGATATATTTACGGTTTCCACTTTGGTCGATAACACAGGCGATACCACGTTTGCGTACACCGACCCTGCGTACTTTTCACATTCTGAAAATACGGTATTTAAATAAGAATTAAAAAGAATTTTTCCTACCTCTGTTCTTAGGTGTACAGACTGTTTACTTGATTTTGCTACGACACCCCAGCCATCCAAGGGACCACGCGATGTAACAGGAGCTCCAGTTGGCGTTGTCCTTTGAGTCGTCGTGGTTGTAGTAGCTTCACCGTTTGGACAACAGACGATTGGCTCGAAACCAGCGTATCCACACGACTCGCGCGGCACATTTCCTTTCAACAGTTCCTCGTAAACCGATGGACAGTTTTGTAGACGCTTGCAAATTCCAGGCGCATTGTCAGCGGTGCACGCGTCACCTGAAAATTGTAAGTATCGTTAACAAAAATTCAACAAAATTAACAGTGTCTGACAAACTTGGCTGATATTTGTCGTACAGAAGATCAGGTTTACCAGTATCTAAAAATAAACAGCATAACGTAAAGCAAATGATCGGTAATGAATATTTTCTCCATACTTTCCTGAATCATCGATATCCATGCATGAGGTATTCGCATTTTTCTGCGTGATTGAATACAATCAATCGAAAGCTACGCGATTACAGAACGAATATAAATGAGATGGTTAAATATTGTTTGTCGTTGACTTTCAAACCTTTTCCTGCCTTGAAGCTATAACCAGGTGAGTAAACAGTATTGGATTTGAAATAAACTATAATTATCTGTTATGTATGACGATTGTTATTGAAACGCCTCTGGGGAGGCAAACCCGATCCTCCCGTGAGTCACAATCTCACACCTATCAAGGCGTAAATTTCTGCTATAACTAAACGTTTCTAATAATTATATCTTAGAAATATAAAAGAGATATATATCTCAGAATATTTGGCAACAATAATTAAGCATTCTTATTTTAAATTTATCCGATATCTCTAGGTATATCGACTGCGCTGAAACTCGTCTTTACCTTCATCTCGAGCACTGCAGGATACAGCAACACTTAGGATCAATAGGAACGATATCACTGCTGACACAAACGGATGTGACAACATCGTCGTTCGATAGACTTCTTTTTATCCACGGTAATCTCGAATCGCCACGCTCCTTTCTTATGGCTCGATGACTACTTCGTATCTTTCTTGGTCCGTGGCTTTTGTATGCCTCTCCATTTTTCTGCAATCGTCCATGGTGGGGGAAGGAAACCGTGAACTCGTCTACAATCAACAGACCAGAGAAGTCAAGGAAGTTCCAAGGACCCGCAATTTTGTTGAAAACTTTTTTTATAATTTTCGTACCATAATTCGTATAAATGAATCTAAGAGTATTGTTTCCTATTCATACACGTTTGTACAATCACGATAAAGCAGAGTATCTGGAATATCAATAGCTGGTGAAGTACTGTGACAAAGTGGGAGTCATAACACTCGATGGCATTGAATAAACGTGTTAAACCGGCTTGCTCTTTTAAGCCCTGAATCACTTTTGTTTTTTTCATGTCAGTATTCAAATTTATAAAAATACCTATGATTGAATGAAACGTTAGTCAAGAATAGCGTAATATCGTTAACTTAATGAATCGATCATTCATCGACTCTTTGTAGCCTACATTTTTATCTTGCAATTTTAATCCATTTGTATTTTTGCACGTTTACCTGAAGACGCTAGGTCCAGGAAGTTGCGCCCTCTGCTTTGGTGAACACTGTTCTATAGCGTGCGATCAGTTTACGTTAGAGGGCGTTAATTACGACTTTACATTGCAAGAACATAACGCTTTACAAAAGTTCTACGAATATGATTTTTCTTTATTGGATGATTCACATTGTTCATTTTCCTATGAGTCTTCTTATCTCTTATCTTAAAAGCGTAAACATTTTTTTCTTTTTTTTTAAACAAAACACGAGGTAAGGGAAGAATACATGACCCGGCATTGTAACACTTCCCACTTAGAAATATTTTATTGCTATTTACTTTATACATAACACGTTAGCATATTTACAATTCGATTCCTGAATATATGTATATATATATATATATTTATGTATGAGCATCTTGTATCATCCGATATAGAACAGACGCGTTCGTTTTGTACAACAATACATCATCCGCAGTCGTAGTATCGTTAATAAAAAATAAAAATAACAGCGATTAATAGAAATCGATACGTAATCGATAATATAACAGTAACAATTAACACTCGGTAAAAGACCTAAAATCTAATGTCGGGCATCGGACGCTAAAAATAAAGGACATTCTCTACCTAAAAATACGACGCGACGAACGATGCTTTAACCTTTTCACTGCTGAATTAATCAGTAAACAAGTTAAAGCCTCTATGCTCGATTAATTTCACAATTTATTCTTTCACATAATTGTACTTATAAATAATCATGTAAACAATTAAATAAAGGAATAAAAAAAATCTTACACAATTATCGAGTATACGCAGCAGTTAAAAGGTTAATGTAACTCTACACGAGGCGAATAAAAGAAACGGGGAAGTTTAAAACCGATAACACGTTGTATAAGTTTCGTGCAAAGGGGAACTTCGTGCTGTATTGCGAAGACTAAAACGAATTTTTTTTTTTTAAACTCAACGCTGAATCTGCCTCCAGGTGGCAGAGAAAAGAGTTTCGCACAAAGCTTTCGAATCGATTCGTTGATTGGTTCAAAAGAAAAAAAAAAAAAAAGAAAGTTAGGAAGACGGCGTACAGTTAATAAACGCTATGCATAACGTTGGAAAGATTTATCGAAACTCAATTCCACACGTTTCGTAACGACACGCTATTTACATTTAGTCCGTGTATTTGCGTTCAGTTATGTCAGTCTTGCGGCTCTCGAGAGGAAATTATACATTTACGCACAGGCGTATATCGCGATTGACATGCGTGCTTTTTTAATGGTTACACCAATCACGGTGCGGCTGGAAAACTAGTTCGAACAGGTTGCGCACGTTTGACTAAAAACGGACACTTGAGGTCGTAATTCAACGCCTCTTTTCCTTCCGTTACGCGCCCACTTGTATCGAATAGTATAGTATGGTCGATGGAAGAGATACATGGGGACACCCAGTAGCCAAACCGATTGAAAAAGTTGTATTAATCTCTTGAGGAATATTGACTCGAGGAATTAATCAATTTGGCATCTCAGAGGTTCGTATGAGTCTCTTTCAAGACGTTCTCGAGTAGTATTCAATCTCCAAATTTTATTTCGGCCATCGAACGCTTAATTTACGACTTCGTTATGTATTCTGCACTGGCTATACATTGCTAAGATGATTTATGGTTTCGTTCCCGAGATTGATGTCCTAAGATCGACTGTGAAATTAGATAGCTTTTGCGTTTTATTCGAAGACAAATATATGTATAGAAAACTAATTCTGTCTTTAGAAAAAAATGTTTGAACGCTATCAAACTTTTCATTGGCCTATTGTAATGTCTTAAGCCACATTCCCACGTGGTTTGCTGTGCGCACAAAAGTATAGTCAGCCCAAAATATGATAGGCCGTTCAAGTATTAAAAAATATCGCACATCGAAGGAACATCGCACCGAAAAATCGTCACAATCATATGCTAGCATCGCACACGTAGGAACGTGGCTT